TGGTAAGTCTTGGTGAACGACATGAATTGTCGTTGGGAAGTGCTGTCCTCCGCCATGTTGGTGGTTGATCCTAGGATGGGACGCTGTTCTGACAACAATGTGGAACGACACAGAGCAATATGAATTGTATTGTATTTCTCTAGCTAACGCTACCACGAATCGGTCGGAGGTACGGATGCAGCGAATACGAAGTAATCTGAACTTTCGTCTCCAAGGATGTGTAAAATGTTTGGAGAAGCATTCAACAGAACAAGCCGCGCGGAAGACGGAAACAAGAATCTAGTGTGGAGCCGTAGTCTCTCTGACTCGACCGCAAAGTGTGGTGTGAACGGGCTTCAAAGGCCGAACCAGGAAGCTTCAAAAGCCGGCGCGAAGCCCTTTGACTCTCAAACTGCGACGTGGTGATGGTGGTCATGGATTTGATAATGGTGCGCGGGGAGTAGGGAAGCCAAACATCTCCCATACCACGACCAATGGGACGCCAGCTGCGAGAGAAACCACAGCGTCTCCAGGCGAAAAAGAGTCGGTGGCGCGGGTCGTTGCAGTTGGATCTTGATTGACCCCAGTAGTCTGAGATGAGGCATTTGTACGTCTGTGCAATGGAAACAGGAGTAGAAAATCAGGTTCACTCATTGTACCAGAGTGGGAACTCTGGGTCTACACCGCAACGCGGTTTATAATCTCGCATTTCAATCTTTTGGACTAGGTATCTAAAATTCGAAGCCTTTGATTAAGGCAGTGGAAGAACTGTGTTTCGATGACGTGGATTTTTAAACAGGTGGTCAACACTAGGGATGAAATAAATGCTGCTTTGTAATGGAGCGACTAGGTGGTCGACGACGTGGAGTGTGTATTATTTCACAAACGTCAGAATGACCTGCCTCCCAGCATATACTCTGCGCAAGGTATGTTTTGGCAACCTTTTTGAGAGTCTGTTTACCACTTAGCGGATCACGCAGAGCTTATTTCTCTCCGTTCGCGACCGCTCTCATCTTGCTGGGAGTCCAAAGGCAAATCATTTAATCAGCGAAATGGGCGGGGAGACCGACAACCGTGTTTTCCGATTTTAGTTCGCACTAGATCTAAATAGGAAAACAATCTAAGTCTTGGCAAGACCTCAAGACGTGGGTCAGTGCTTCGTGTCGAAGGTCAATTCTGGATCGGCGGGAAGCCGTTATTCTTTCCGTAGCCCCTCCCCTTTGATTGTTTTCCTACTTTAGACATCAAGAAAAAAACGTCCGCTCCGTCTCGTCAAGCATCAACAAGTTGAAACAAATTTGAAGCCTCCTGTACAAGCGGATACTTACGAAAATTTTTACCCGTTCCGTTCGGTGTTCGCTAGCGCTCCAATCTCGATGGATTCGTCAAGAGCAGCCCTGCTCAAAGGTACGATTCTCCTCCAAATTCAGTTGCCCTCAATGAAGTTAGACTCACAGGCGAAGACACAAACAGAGAACTAGCATTTGTCGTGACGACTACGAATGAGACGCCCACAGAGAGAGATCGCAAGCTTATTCGAAGCCATGTAATGAAGGGGAAGAACACTCGCAAACGAATCAGTTTAGATCGGCAACAACTGCAGATCTCTACCATCGCTCTTGATGGAAGAGCCTTACAAGAGTTCCATCAAGAGAATATGAACCCTGAAGGAGATGATGGGGCCTTCGGTGACACAGCTCCTGTCGGCGCTACACATTCCGTTTTAGTTCCTCCGCCTGCTAGCATCTTTGCTTTCGTCAATTTCACCGAAGATGTTGATATTCATGCCCGTCGAATGCTATGCACCTGTAGGTTGGGTCTTTTATAGGCGATTGGCAGTCAGTCGCCCTCATTAACGTGCTCTTCCTCCTAGATTACACCCACTTGAAGACCAACATGTACCCGATCGCAAAGTACTCTTACTCTGATATTAGCAACACATACTGGTTCCACTGGACCCAACTCGACCTGGCATATCTCCACGCTGTTCTCTACACTACGTCATTCTTTTTCGACACTCTGGCAGGTCAGAAGAGCGAAAGAACAAAGTACCACTTGTATCGAACAGTCAGTGAGCTTAACAGGCAGCTTAGCAATCCGAAGACTGCATTGACCGATTCCACAACCACTGTCGTCATGTTTATGGTCTTTGTTGCGGAGTGCTTCGGAGATATGGAGTGTGCCCACATACACATGATGGGGTTGAGAAAGATCATTGATCTCCGCGGCGGGTTGAAGTCGTATGACGAAAAGCCTCTACTCCAGGAAAAGTTGCGTCGGTAAGTATCAACCTCCCGTTCTCGCCACCTTCAGTAGAATCCCCAAAACAACGCTGACCAAATTGCGTGAAGGGCAGATTTGATCTACAGCATGTGCACTGGCTTCAAGCCGGGGTATTCGCAAAACATGGGGTCGTCCAAATACGAGGGCGAGCCTGTCGATGCCAAATCAGTTGATCAATCCTGCTTTTCTCGATCCCGCCATCTTACCCGCGAACTGGACAGGGGACTGCACAGGTGTTTCCAAGATATCCAGGTTCTATCGCAGCTGATAAACAGCAGTCACGGCAGTGGTGAAAAGCTTTCGGACATAGTTGTTGAGGGGTTTCCAACATCTATTCAGTCGCGGCTTCTCCTGCTTGATTTTCGTAACCATCACTGGAATCCCCTTGCAGAGATTCTCCGGCTGTCGCTTCACGCTTATTTGACAACCGTCTTCTGGAACTTTCCTGGTCTGAATACTCAGTATCCATATATAGCTGCTCAATTTCGCAAAGCTTGTCTCATATTCTCGCCCGCCAATACTGGAGAAAGCTTTCTCTTTGCTTGGGCATTGATGGTCGGCGCGGTATCGTTGTTCCATGGCCAAGATCAAGAGTGGCTAATGGAAAGGCTCCATCCACTGATGGAGAACACTTTGGGTATCATGTGGCTTGAGGTCAAATGCAGTCTATGTCAGGTGATGTGGATTGAAAGTCTTCACGATGGTCCGGGCATGAAAGTCTTCAGTCGATACGTCAGAGAGAGGAAAGGTGGAAGTGCTGGCATCACGTCTGCAAACTGGGATGCACCTGCGATGGGAAAGTAAGCAATTCGACCATTTAGGGTTGACAGAGGAGGTTTGCTGAATAGGACAAGTTCATTACAAAGGCCATTGGACACAGAAGTTCAAGACACAAGTCATATTTGTCAGTTCACGTGAATCATGATTCAGCGATGCCCGAAGGTGAGCCGGCTAGAAGGATGAAGTGGTAGAGCTTTATACAGAAGCATATCTTGGGTCCGAGGTAGATCAAGGGACGACAAATTTATCTCAAGCTACATCTATGTGAGGTCTCTGAAACGCATTTCAGCGTCAAGTTGGCTGCCATTCCCGCTTCAAGCTTTCAGCTCCTTCACAGGTTCAGGTGGGTCTTGAAGAAGTCGGTCACATTTGCAACCGAGGGAGCGACGTAAGGTTCCAAGTCGTAGAAATCCATGTGGCGCCCGCCTGGAACCAAGATCTTTACTGCATTCGGGTTGGTATTCTTGATCTTCTCGTAAACATCGTCGGTTCCCCAGCGGCTATCGGCATCCTCCCCGGCGATTAGTATGGTTGGCTGCGAGAGAAGCTGGTCTGCCAAGTGCCATGCGTCGAAACGGTAAATCAGAGGGATAGAAGCGGGGTGCATGCGGTTCTCGGACGTGTTGAAAAAGCCGCGAGGGGTCCGGTAGTAGTCCCACGCATCGACCAGGTCAGGGGGGGTGTCGGCTTGGGGAGGGTCGGGAACGTACTGCAGGTAGGTAATGTTGCCACCCGCAGCGATGTCTTGAATAGTTTCAGCGGCCGACTCGACCACAGATAAAGCGTCCGATGTATTGAGAGTGTTGAGCCACCCCTGGCGGTTGGTGTCGCCAATGTTGACTAGGCTGATTGCAGCTACTGCCTTGATGCGGTGATCAGTAGCTGCTGCGGCAATTCCGTACCCGCCACCCGCGCAGATTCCGAGAACTGCGATGGCACCTGGGTCGACATAATCGAGAGTTTGCAAGTAATCCACGACAGCGGAGACGTCAGAAACCCTGGAGCCCGGGTCTTCTAGGTAGTGAGGGCTGCCCTCAGACTGCCCTTGGTACAGCGCGTCGAAGGCAACAGACACGAACCCCTGCTGAGACATACGCTCCGCATAGAGGCTGGCTGTTTGCTCCTTGACGCCGCCGCCAGGGTGAACAACGACGAGACCTGGAGCTTTGGCTGATGCTATCTCCGGCCGATGGAGGAGACCGGCCAAACGAAGACTGCCTTTGGCGATGCTGATAAGAGACATGTTTCGGGATTATTGTTGGACTTAAAGATTTTAGATTTTTAGATCATAGATCGAAGACATGAGGTGATTTGAACAGGCTCTAGATCATGCCGTGAGGCAGTTTGTTGCCTTTCTTAAGTACTGCAGAGATCAGCGACATTCTCCTGAGACTCAAATCGATGTCCACGAGGGCTAGGTGGCTTAGACAATATCTCGAAATTGCCAAGGTGATAGCAACCACCGTATTGTTTTCCTCACTTGGACGGCATGTAGCCAAGAATCACAATATCGTCATCTTCTTGGCTTTGCTCATGAATTGTGCAGGTCAAGAATGACAATCCACAGCTTTATGGAGCGCAAGGGTGCTCGGTATTGGTTCGGAGACATTGTGATTAGGTGGCGCCTTCACAAGACATAACATTGCACATGCTCCCAATCGTAAGTATCGGCATGATCCGCAACACGATGGTGTCCGTAGCTTAGTATTCCAACTAGACTTTGCGTCTGATATCCTTACTTCCGCTATGTCCGCCAATTCTCCCCGAAGTCCGCTGACACGTCCAAAGTGACTTCAGTTCCCCAAGGCCGTAGGAACCGTAACTTCGCAGGATTTCAAATCAGTTGTTTGACGCGTTGCTATTTAAGGCCGTTTGATGGCGGATGATTGACCATGATCTTCGTTGCTCCATCTCCGTAAGACACACAACAACTAGTTAGCGAACGCACTCGATTCATCATGGCACCTCACGTTTGGCTCATCACCGGAAGCACCTCGGGCTTCGGCGCTGAGTTTGTCAAAGCAATCCTCGCAAAAGGAGACAAGGTCATCGCGACGGCTCGCGACATCTCAAAGATAGTCCACTTCCGTCAGGCTGGCGCAGCCGTGTTGAAGCTGGACCTTCTGGCTAGCCAGTCTGAGTTTGACAGGGTGGCCCAAGAAGCGCTGGGTATCTATGGCGGTGTTGATGTTTTGGTTAACAATGCTGGCTACTCGCATTTTGGAACAGTCGAGGATGACAGGTGAGCTTCTCCCATCGCCACTATCGGTCGATTCCCATAAGGCGCCTAATACCAACAAATCATAGCCAAGAAGACTGGAACAAAGTCTTCCAGACTCACGTCTTTGGACCTCTCGGTATAACACGAGCCTTCCTGCCTCATTTTCGAGCTCGCAAGTCCGGAACATTTGTCTTCATGGGCTCTACGGCTGCCTGGGGAGGTATCCCTACCCTAGGGGCATACTGTGCATCCAAGAGCGCGTTGAGAGGTGCGTGAACCAATGGTACCCATGGAAGCTATGATCGAAGAAGCTAACACTAATATCTGTTATCATCAGGTGCTGTCGAAACGCTTGACCTCGAGGTCAAGTCCATTGGGATCAAAACCCTACTAGTCGAGCCGGGATTCTTTCGCACCGAACTGCTCAACGCCAAAAATACGGTCTACGTGGACACGAAGATCCCGGAATACAAGTCCACCGTCGATTCACTGTATGCTCAGTTCAAGGGAGCGCATCATCAGCAGCCTGGAGACCCCGCAAAAGGGGTTTCTCATATCATTGATCTGGTGGAATCTTCAGGCACTGCTCAAGGACGGTCATTGCCAATCAGCTTGGCTCTGGGACCAGACGCAGTGGTTCAACTGCGCAAGAAGTGCGCTGACACGATCGAGCTCTTGGATGAATGGAAGGAAGTTTCATCTGACACGTCGCTCTAGAACGTGATAGAGTTTCCATCGTCAGTGCCATTCTTATCCAAGATGGTTTGGTGTCCAGGCCAGCTGGATAAATGTAAGGGCTGGTGGTTTTTGGATGAGGAGGTCATGTTCGGTGCCGTTTGAAGACGACTCTTTCAATGAGGAATGCATCAATTGTTGCTCAGAACTTTCACAATCTCAAGTTTACTTGTACCAGAGAAACATAACAGCCCACAAAGTTACAACCACTACTAGAAAGAAATCGGTTACCCGACCCTTGCGCTCCCATTGCCGAGTGACGTCGGCATCTATTTGCCCCCAACCCCACTTCTTAACGGCCTGGTACTCCTCAAAGAGCATTGGCTTGACCGGGTCTGGCATTATGTCAATTAAATCAAATTGTATCTTCAACCCAAGCTTGATCAATCGTTCAAGCACAGGGTTTGGGTGACCGATCTGTTGCTGTTCACGGACTTTGGGAGCAAGAACTGTCAGCAGCATCTGGCGGCCAAACCAGTGAAGATGTCTGCGTTTAGTCGATTAGCCATCCCCAGTGTTCGAGAAATCCATATGAACCGTTCGGGGCGTTGACCTGTTGGCCTAACTTACTTGGGAAACCACAGCGTGCTGAACTGGGTTATGAAAGCCTCAGCGATGGCGCGGCCCTTCTCCCTATCTTCCGAATTCGTCCATTTGTCGAAGGGCAAGTCCTGAAACCAGCGATAAAAGGCTTCGAGTTCGTCCCATGTTCGTGGAAAGTTGACTCCAAAGCTACGACTCCCGTCCGCCGGCTCCGTTCGAAATTGCGCCAAAACCCTTTCTGCCCATGCAGGCCACGCAGCTGCGACGTGAGGATGAGACTTCTGATTCTTCGCCCCGACAAGCTTCCGCAAATACGTCTCGAACACCGCCGACCCAATCACGGACATCTGTCCTTCGGGAGGGTTGCTGAAGGCTCCCGGGGTGTTCTTCCAGATGGTTTTGTGTAGTCTGTTCACAGCCTCGATTCCTCGTTTTGTCTCCTCGGACGCACTGCCGTGCCACATCCAATCTAGGAGCTGGTCTGCTGTCTCGTAAAACCGTTGGTGGGGACGCTTGAATGCTCTGGCCCCAAAATGAATCGCCGCAGCACCCCCCGGGGGCTGCGTCAGCATCACAAACGTGGAGCAGTATCCCATTGCAACAGCAAATGTATTGCCAGAGAAGAAGTTCGCGGTTTTGATGATTTGGTCATACTCAGTCTCGGGGTCAAGCTATGAGGAGAAAGACCACAAGTCAGTGCCTCCATGTAATTATATCACCGTCAAGCTTTGGCATGAAAATGATCTTACTGTGTCAAGATACGCTGAAATCCATTTCCCTTTCCTCTTCTCCTCAGGAGGCCACTCTGGCACGGGTCTCTGAGATTGAGTTGGGGGTCTCGGCTGTCTCTGATTGTTGTCAAGCTGATCCGCCGTGTCCGTCCCGGGAGGAAGATTACTGCCGAAGTCAAGTGCATAGTACTCCTTATCTCTTTCGACGAGAGTCGGAATAGCTGACATGATGAGAGGACTGGCACAAAAAAAGATCTAGTCAAAGTCAATAGGGAGTAGACGGTTGGCGTTATTAGTTGCAATCAAAGATGACCAACCCAGACAAGTGAGCGCAGGCTCAATGACAATGACTATTTATACCCATCATAACCCGGTTGCAGCTGACGATCATCAGAAACAGTAATGTTCGCCAGTGGAAGCACGTACCTCTGTTGGGCGACATGGCGGTCGTATGGTCTGTGATGACTTACAGGGGCTCTGCTGCTAGGGGCAGAGTCAAGCAAAGCGGCAATAGTTTCGGTAACAGCTTTTGGGCCCGCTATACATCCGGACGCCGCTTAGTCCGCATGTTCGTTTACCTGAGGATGCCCATGAAAGCTACTTTGATTCGTAACTGATGTGTTCGGAAGTACAGATAATCGAGTCTTTCGGCTGAACAATCAGATCTAGCAAAATAGAATCTCGTCGTACGACACGGCGGCGATTGCCGGTACCAAACAGGTTCCCTTCCGCGAGTCTCTTACTAATCGACGCATATGGACTGCAGCAATATTTGACATATTGAGGACTGGGAGAACAGGGAGTGTTTGGCGGAATGTGAAGAGAACGCAATGGAAGGACTAAATTTGGCAGAAGAAGTTCAACAGATCATCAATGGTAAAGGCCTTCATCATACATGCAAAGCTCTTCGCGCATTAGTCGACTAGTTGCGTGCAGGATCGTATCACAGACACTTAGCCAAGCTCTAACGTCCCATCCCAGACCCAAGAATATCTGCCTGTGTGGAGGACGGTGTCCCTTGAAAGTGAGATTAGTGTTTTGCCATGGATGCTCGATGAGGAAGTCTGTTCACGTAGGAAAGCGACAAGCTAGATTACAACATCTGCCACTTCGTACGTCTGATGATAAATTTGGGAAGCACTCATAAAGTACCTTTGAATTGGGAGGCCATGCTGAATTACGCATCCGCTACGGAGCCGATTCTTGGTTTGAACTCTGAACATTTGGTAGTTGGATTGGACGCCTACAGCAGGCCCCATTCAGCTCCGCGGACTATTCTCCAGCCAAGGACTTCCTTCCATTTCGCCCAGAACATCAACGAAAACTTCGTCACCAAGTGCTGACCTTTGCTTAAAGACTTCGAAATGTTGCTGTGCCCACAGTTGCTCCTCTCCCGCTCCGGGCACTGGCAGCCCGACCTTCAAGCCCGCCAACAGCTCGCCCGTGATGAAGATAGCAGCCAACTCCAGTTCAGTCGGAGGGGGCACTTTGACGTTGTAAATTCGATGCACGATTTGACGCCACGCGGTATTGATATCCTGGCATAGTTGCTCCCAGGCTTCCCTGGTGCGGTGGGCACCATTTCTTACACATGCCGTGATTCGATTCGGGAGTCGCTTAAGAACGACGTCAGTTGTCAATATCCTAGGTACCATGCACTGCTTTTCTACTTACAGGTCGTCCACCCACAAACCAAGTGTGCTGAGATGCGTCCGTAAACACCACATTGACAAACCATCGGGGCGTTTGAAAGGCTCCAGCGTGGATATCAGCGATGGCCTTTGCCAGTTCAGCTTTCTGGGCAGCTGTGAGAGGCGCAGCAAAGCTGACCTCGCATAGGGGCATCCTGAGAACCGTCTTCTTTCGAGGTGATGATTTGATGGAGGGGGGGGGGGGGGGGGGGATTTCTAGCAACAGGTCGCAGCCATGGCCTTTTTAACAGCTATACGCAGTTGTAAAGGCATGCATGAGTGGCCAAACAAGACCGGATAAGGAGCAAGCAAGACAATGTTGAAGCCATTGGGGGCATCCTGGTCGAGCCTAGCAATGCCTGCCACGGTGTCACCTAAGCCGTATTACACCCTACAGAGGTCCGACCGCTTCATGCATCATTCGTGAATCATCTGCTGAGAACTAGGGGACAAATACTCGGCTCCGACATGTGACTATTGTGGGACTGTGAAAAGCTGACTCGGAATGGAAGCCTTTCCTTCTATCATTCAACCTCGAAAGCACGAGACTCGGCTTATGTGAAGCCATAACTTTCCGGTGCTTTCCTAGAAAGAATTTGATTTTTCAGAAATGACAGTTCAGATGGACCAGGGATGCCGCATATGCGCATAGTGTCTCCAAAACGGACGTCTTCTTCTGTTACCAATCCTTCTTCACGTCTGACCATCATCCGGTATGTACATAATCGCATACATCGTAGTCAGTTAGTTCACTATGTTTTTGCGAGTGCACGGCTCAGAGCGCTAAGCAATAGGATTCGATGCGGGCCAGCCCGCCTACCTCCCCCGCTGCGGAGGATCCGAGTGCCTGGGCATGGAATGGGCCGCCTCGGAGACGGAATACCCGCGCCGTGCTAGTTAGCAGACGAATCACATAAGCAACATCCAGCCGAACAGAAGGAAAACTCCGTGTTTTGTCGGAGCAAAATCCGTCTTCATTGCTCGCATTCCACAGATCGTCACAGTCAAACGACCAGACCACCATGCCAATCGAAGCAACGAAGAGGCCGATGAATTCGCCGCCTTCTCTACAATCCCCGATACCGCACAAGGTCAGGTCAAGGATTGGTGCAGCCTGCGTGCGGTGCCAAAAACGGAAAATCCGTGTAAGCCTTCCCTTCCGTTTCGGCTACCCGCCGGTTCCCCCCTTGCCAACTGCTTTGAACGATGTGTTGACCGCGAATAATTAGTGTGATGCTCTTTTGCCGGCTTGCGGCGCTTGCCAGCGCGCGGGTACCGAATGCGTCGGGGGAGGTTCATCACGGGAGATCCCTCGGAGGTAAGGCGTCGCCCAAATGAAGGTGCCTTGCCATACCGAGCTCGCGAGCTGACCCGCTTCAGTTATGTGAACGATCTAGAAGCCCGGGTTCGATGGCTAGAGTCCGTTATTCAAGAGCGTTTACCTAGTTTCGACCTAAGTGCTGGACCAGGGCAATTGAACAAATCAGCAGGCGTGTCGAACGAAAGCGAAACTCTTGAGCTGCCAGGCCAAATGCACAATAACCAAAATACAGAATCTCTGGACACTATCTCGGAGCAAATCGGACTCATATCTGTCACCAACGGAGCAGATCTTCGATACCTCGGCCCATCCAGCGGCTTGTTTTTCACCAAGTTCGTTCTGGCTGGCCTGGGGAAACGGATCCTATCTGTGCCTGATCGAACCTCCGCCCCTAAATTTGCTCACAGCAGCATTTTTGTCCCTTCAGATCTTCTCGCGCCTCATCAGAAAAGTCTGCCTGCCGATGAGAGGCAGGCAAGATGGCTCTCGCAGGCATATTTCGAACACGTCCATCTACAGTTTCCGTTCCTCCACGAGTCCACTCATTGGGAAACTGTGAGTCGGGCATATGGCGCCGCCGAGATTTCCTTAGTAGACAGATTCCAGGTCTTCATGGTTCTCGCCATAGGCGCAGCACACCTCTCCCGGCGAACCAAGGTGGCACTGTCTGCAGAAGGGTACTACTCCTCTGCCATGAAACTTGTCGATGAGATCCTCAAGACATCTTCTATTGCCTCTGTTCAATGCATATTGCTCCTCGAGATGTATGCATTCAATAGCCCGTCATCAGGACTGAGTCTTTGGTCGCTCCACCACCATGGACTAGCATTGGCAATAGAACTAGGGCTACATCGCAATGTACCGGAAAGTACGTTTTCTACATTCGAGAGAGAGTTGCGGACTCGGGTCTTCTGGTGTACCTACACAATTGACAGACTCTTAAGCACGCTGATGGGGAGACCAATGGGTGTAGTGGATGAGCAATGCGAGCTCAGAGCAAGTACCCTCCTTCTTTCAATATTTTAACGGCAATGTACCTTAGCTGACCATGTCCGTAGCTGCCCTTGGACGTAGGCGACGAACAACTGAAGTCGGATCAGCTCAAGCCACGCCAAGAGTCCGAACCACCCACCAACGTTACCAGTGCCATACATCTTTTCAGGCTCGCGAGGTTCAACTCCGAGATCAAGTGCGTTCTTTACTGTGTCGATCGCCAATATCCGCCGTATACGCAACCCATGGTTGTCGATGCAGAGAATTGGAGAGGCGACATCTTAAGTCGCCTGCGTCAGTGGAAGCATGACATACCGAAACATCCTGAAGGAAGCCCAGGGCATTGCATCAGTACCCTGTGTGAAATCAAGTATCACGAACTTACGATGCTGATACTTCGACCAAGTCCAAGAATACAGAACCCGGACAAGGCTTCGCTACGCGAATGCTTCCAGAGTGCTCTAACATGCACAGAGCTCTATCATTCACTTTATGTCGCGAACTCTCTCCAATATGGATGGCTCGGCATTCATTCTCTTTTCTTGTGTGTCATGGTCGTGTTTTACTGCGTCTGGAAGCCTGGGGAGATTGTCAAGGAACGGGATTTTGACTCGGTGGTCCGCGCGCTTAAAGTCTCATCGGATATCTTGAGCGCCATCGGAGAATATTGGCCAGAGGCGAAGAGAAGTCGCGACACTTTAGACCGTATCTCAACAGCAACCATACGAAGATTTACTCAGCATCTGAACAAGAGAGGGTCCTTCCAGACTCCACAGGAACCGCAAACATCCGTAGACATTCCCTCGAACTTTAGTTCAGAGCCAGTAGTCGACTGGAGTGGCATGAGTCAATCGTGGAACGGCACGTCGTCGGTTCAATTCGGGGATGAAGAAATGATAAACACACCCTTCAACATGGATTACGGTGGAAACGATGAATCTTTCATGTCGGCCGACATTATGTCTTACTTTCTGGGGTCTTCGGCGGATGCGACAATGGGCCCGAACGACTTTGTTCATGTTATGGATGATGCGCCGAACTACCTTGTTGGTAATGGGCTGAATTCCGATCGCAGTGTCGAAGATGCGCGTCAAACGTAGTTTGAAATAGTCGAAATGATACAATCATATATTTAAAACAAAGACCCGGGGTTTCATGAAAATGTATCTTCACGCCTCGCGCTGCCAGATTCTCCGCGCTGTCTTTCTCTTTACGTTAAGCCCCGGGCGAATAGACCTTGCTGAGCGCGCGCTCCACTCGCCCCTTCAAGCCCTTCAACATGACAGTATCAGTGACTGGATATCCGGAGGTAATGCCAAGACAAGACCTGGCATCCGCGGAATCCATGTACAGGTTTCCAGGTTGGGAGTTGTGAGTTACTGTGGAGATCTTTGATTAGTGATCATCTCGTCAAGTACGCCTTACACTCCTTTTGATGACCACTTTCCATACAATTTTGTTATCGGTCGTAGTTAGCTGCCCCGCTGAATATTTGTGTGTCATTACTGGATTGGAGCTTTCTTAGCGATTAATATTTAGATGTTCGATCTTCTGGTAGTACCTTATAGAGATATACCACCACGACTGACAGGATCCGGTGGACAAAGAGAAGTAAGAGACCCAGCGAGTTGAATCATTTTGATTTCAATGCCTTTTTGAAGCCTCAGTCTCTCTCTTCAACTAACCTACCTCGTAGAATTAACTCACTCGACAGATAATTCGAGAGTTCAACTTGCTTACATCCGAGATCGATATTCAATAGCGCCCACAACTGGCTTCCCGGACCAGGCAGACGCCATGGAAAAGACAGAGCATTACCTGCAACGAGATGCTTCTCAAGACGCCACGGACAGGAGGTCGGGCCATGACACGACGAAATACGTTACCGACGCGAGGTTAGACAATGGGAATGACGACCGAGAAAATTTCCGAAATGAGGATTCAATAAATACACATGATCGCGGGGCCAACCCCATTGCGAAATGCGTGCCCAACGTAGCTCCCTCGAGCTCCCTAATCCCTTGCTGACCCGGGACCTCCTCCTGATGGAGGTCTTCGGGCATGGCTTTGTGGTGAGTGGGGATGGCATTGATTCGTCGCACATGAACTAATAACCAACTCTGGCAGTCTTGGGGACGTTTCTGGTCGTGATGAACACGTGGTACGTTGGCTCCCCTAGCTCCTCCGCCAGAGGAAACTTTCGGAGTCTCCTCAGCAAGACATGCCTGACAATGTTGACTAGGGGTGTGATCAATTCCTTCGGCGTCTTTCAGAGCTACTACGTCACAGTTCTTGCCCGCCCACCATCCGACATTTCCTGGATCGGGTCCATCAACGTCTTCCTGCTCTTCTCCATCGGGACCTTCACTGGCCGTCTGACCGACGCAGGATTCTTCCGCCCACTAGCCATTTCCGGGGCTATCTTGACGGTAACCAGAACATTAGCAACGTCAGCATGCACGAAGTATTGGCAGATATTCCTGGCGCAAGGTATCTGCGTTGGTATCGGCAGCGGGTGTCTTTTCTGCCCGGCCGTTGCCATCGTGTCAACGTATTTCAACAAGCGTGGTTCACTGGCGATTGGCATCACCGCTTGTGGCAGCGGAGTTGGGGGCATATTGTACCCGGTGCTGGTACGCCAACTATTACCGAGAGTGGGCTTCGGGTGGACAATGAGGACAATCGGATTCGTTCAAGGTGGTGGATTGGCGATTGCGGTCGCTATCTTACGACCGAGGGTTCTTCCCCGTAAGACGGGACAGTTTGTCGAATGGTCGGCGTTCCGCGAGCTCGAGTACACATCTTATGCGTGTGGCTCTGTCCTGGTAAGTTACCCACTACATGGAAAAATGCCATTAGGGTTTTTGATGCTGATGATTGATACAGTGCCTGATGGGAGCCTACTTCGCCTTCTTCTTTGTCGCCGCCTACGCTCGAGACATCCAGGGCATGTCGTATACCAACTCACTAAACCTCGTCGTGATGATGAATGGCGTTGGAATGGTGGGTCGACTCCTGCTCACACATCTTGCTGATAGGTTCGGGAACCTTACCGTCTTCGTGCCTACTGCTGGAGCAGGTGCTTTGCTTCTGTTTTCCTGGATCGCGGTCTCCTCTCCAGCGGGCGTATATGTTTGGGCATCCTTTTCTGGTATGGCCACCGGTGGGATCCAGTCGCTGTTCCCATCCGCTTTGGCCTCTCTTACATCTGATCCGCAAAAGCAGGGTACTCGCATCGGGATGGTGTTCACGATTGTGAGTTTTGCGGGTTTGGTCGGGCCCCCGATCGGAGGAGCTCTCGTTTCCGCTGTCGGCGGTTCTTACGTTGGTGCTCAGGCTTTTGCAGGAACAAGTCTATCGTTGGGGATGGCATTCATGATGACCGCTAGGGAAGTTAAGAGGAGGAAGAAGGGACAAAATATGTGGATGAAGGTATGATGGGACGTTGATGCAGCGATGCTATACGCCGTTGCCAGCGTGTTCTTCATGTGCAGCCTGTGCTGTACCCGTTCTGTTGCAATGGCCCTTGCCGCCAGTATCTCAGTTGAGAAGAACGCAGAAGTATTCATTTCGACCACGTTTGCTTAAAAGGCAGCAAAACTATTGCTGGACACGAGTGTTTTTGGGGCGCCAAAAGCTAGGTAGACATCGTCACCCACCCTCGACAGAGGCAAAAAACATACAACACCGGGCATTCGCCGGTCGTCACCGACCCGACTACTACTCCAGCCCTCGCTGGTTTATCGATTGGAGAGCGGACGGGATCCCGAGTTTTCCAATGGGTATGGTCGTATGTGATGGGTAGCGGTTGTGAAGCTGCTCATAAGGGGTCACTCATGTGGTGGACAGTGATCATGGGCAGAGTGAAGTTCAGTATCTTCATTGTGTTGTTGTCTCACAAGATAGGCTTTGTTTACTTGAATATATCTTACTTCTACAACATCCATCTGATCTCGTTATCAGTAATCTTTCCATGTCTACCGTTACCGCCCTGTGTTAACCTCGCCACGTCAGGCGCTTAGAGATGGACCCAAGCGTAGTGATTGGACATGTCAACCCTCGCGTTATTCTTCCTCTATACCGACCAGCTTGCATGACTCCTTCCAAAGCAATGCAGCTTTTGCCTCGTCGTAAGCCCAGGGCGCATACCCCGTGTCGGTCGACATCATGTTGTATCCGGCAGATGTGGGGTGAGCCTCGACACAGTTGCTCAGATATTTGCCACCTCTTCCCTCCCACTCCTTGCTGACGGCGGCGTAGACAGTGGTGGAAGCCCCTTGGGCCGGGCTCTTGAGGATGCTCATCATCTTGTTGAACAGCTCTTCGCCCATCGCCGCTTTCGCAGCTTCCACGTCGACGGGCTGCGCCACAGACATGTTCGTCATAATAGATCCGGGATGCAAAGACAGCGAGTGCAGACCTTGAGAGCTGTATCGCCTCTCAATCTCGTTTGAAAAGTAAATGTTGGCTGTTTTGGAGTGTCCATAAGCCACTGACTGCTCGAAGGAGCCTTCTTCCTCAAAGTTGAAAGCGTGGAACCGGATTTCGCTCGCGCGGTGAGCCATCGAGGAGACGGCCACGACGCGTGAGTGGAACTCCGGAGTGACAGACGCCAGCAGCGCGGGCCGCAGCAGTTGGAAGAGAAGGAAATGCCCAATGTGATTCGTCCCAAAGTGGGACTCAAGCCCGTCAACAGTCTTCGTCTTTTCGTGCTGTATGACACCGGCGTTATTGATGAGGATGTTGAGTTTGCCCTCGCTCTTGCCCAGGAAACTCTCGACACCCTCCCGCACGGAGTCAAGTGAGTCCAGTGACAGCACGACAGCCTGGAGTGATCCTCTCCCAGGAAGATTCGGGGTTTTCCTAATGTCGGCGATGGCCTTGTCGCCCTTCTCGTTGCTCCGAACGCCTAGGAAAACATCGGCGCCGGTCGCGTAGAGGGCGCGAGCAGTGTCCAATCCGATGCCTTGGTTTGCTCCGGTAATGAAAATTGTCTTACCTACCAGCTTTCCGATGAGATTTTCGTCTTCGATGATTTGGAGAGCCGTGGGGCGTGCGTCGCCTGGACCCTGGGGGTTCTGATGGGCTGCGGCGTAGTGAGACATGGCGTTAAAGCTTTCTGCAAAGCTTCGCTGCGCGGAAGTCGTTGGGTTGCTGTTCCGGACTTATAGTACGTAAAGAGGCAGTGGGACTAAAGGTGGATAATATGAATGGCATTCGACTTGCAGCTCGGGAGATGTCACGAAATTTAAGCCATCGAGCCGACGTGCGAATTATCCCACGATTCCCACCACACGGTGTACAGTCGCTGCTCTCACTTTTCAGTGAATTCCGCCATAATCTTCCGTCCGTGCATGAAGTCCGCTTGATGAAGTGCTGGCGCCGATGACTTGGAGTACTAGCGGCCAAGGAGGCTTTTGCTCACGCAGGGTTTGCGCCAACACTCCAGGTTGTAACCGGGATCTGGGCGGACTTTCATCTGGCGGACTTTCAGTCCAAGAAAGGCTATTTCATATTTGAAATGAGTCGTTGGGGGTGGGAAGGAAACCGTGACCGACGGCACAAGCAATCATTCGAGCTGGTCATGTGGACTCCCTCGCCCATGCCTGATTAGGCCGCGAGGTCTTGGTCCTGCAAGCCGTCCAAATCGTTTCACGTTGACCGTAGGGTAAGACGCCAATGTTAATGATGTATCAAGAACGGCGAGCAGCATTGTATGGCTCGCCTGAAGAGCTACTGCAAGTATTTTGCTACTGTTCGGTAAGTCTACGTAGCTGTCAAGCGGGATGGTCCTTTGACGAAAGATTACCAGATGGAGCCTCTGGAACTGGTTCCAAATGTCGCAACTTGGTCCGCCAGGTTTGTTTTGGTCATAACACACATGACTGTTGTTCAAGTCTCAGTGGCCGTGTTGTCGGGTCGGGTTTTCCTCATTCGGCCCTTGCGGCTAGTAAATGCGGGACCCACTTCCGGCTCCCCGCTCCGCACAGCAGCCGGTGTCACTCGGACTCACTCCACACGACGACTTTAGTCCAGGGGTGGAATCCCTGCGCCATCCAACCTTGAGCAGCTAGGAGTACACATGCAAAGCCAATCTGATGCGGATGTGCCACACATCAGGTATTCCGGTAACATTACAGACAGACGGCAGCGGAGGCGAAGGTGTTTCCCGCAAGCGGACGGCAGATATGCGTCCTCCGTTCTACACCTATCACTTACTACGGTACACAAAATGTGCGGACTTTCATCTCTTCGAGACACCTCTCTGATTTGTTTTCTTATCTGACCTAACACAAACCCTGATTCCTGGTGCCATCGACTATGTTTACGCAATTTGCCTGACTCTGGACTCTGCAATTCTCGAGTTATTTGAATATTAAAATTCGCCGCCTTTGTCTCATCCCTGGTGAGCTAGAAAACCTTCGGCAACCTAGCTCCGCCATCAAGTCGGATCACTTCACCGTTCAACATGGTATTCCCCATCACCTCTTTCACAAGCCTAGCGAATTCTTCCGGCATTCCTGGTCGCCGAGGAAACTCCATGGCTCCGGTCAGCATCTCGGGCTCGTGTGGTCGCATGGGCGACGTCATCCCTGTCTCGAACAAGCCTGGCGCAATCGTAACTACACGAATGCCGTTTTGGCCAAGATCTCTTGCCATAGGCAGCGTCATTGATACAACTGCCCTTTTACTGCCCGAATAGACGACCAGACCAGATTGTCCTTCGAAAGCTGCGGAGCTGGCCACCATGATCACAACGCCCCGCTCTCCGTCCGGTCCTTCTCGGGACACGGCGGCTAGGTGAGGCAGGAGTTGGCGGATGGGATCAAGGGTGCCACGCAAATTGACGTTAAGGACGGTCTCCATGTGCGCGTAAGAGCAAGGGACGCGCTCTGAATCCAGTAGCTAAAGTCACATCAGCCTCCTCACTAGGGAGAGAACTTCGCGCCTTGTAAGTAGTAGCGTGAGGTGGAAATCCATACCATGCACGGAGAGCCAGTTCCAGCAGCAGTGATGATACCGCCGATGGGTTTGCCGGCCTCTTGTGTCCAGTCTAGAGTGGCCTTGATAGCATCTGCGACACTCTGCGTACTGGTGATATCGCAATGCAGAAACTTTATCGAAGGTCCAAGTTCCGTAGTCGCTGCGTGCCGAGATTGCTGTTGATGTCGATGACCGCAGCGTTGCCCCCTTGAAGGATGATCATATCCACGCAACCGCGACCAAGGCCGGAGGCCCTGGGAATACAGCTTAGCAATGAGAACGCAGATAGGAGCAATGGCTGACTTACCCCCCCGTGACAATGAAAGTACGGCCTTTGATCTTCATGATTACTGGTTAAGATTGGCGTAGGGGTTAAGGTGGTAGACACCCTTATGTGCGGACGGATTCGAGATGATATAAGAAGACAGTCGGGGCGGCATGCATGCCGCAAGTCCGACGGTCAACATCCCGCCACTCAACAATGCCATTGCTCATCAGCAGCATACCCACGGAATGGACCGATCAAAGAACCCGGTCCAATGTTGTATTTAGTGGGCCGAAGGTCCGCTCCGCAAGCTGGGTTGTTGTGCCTGGAATGAGACCCCTCTGCTCCGCAAAGAAGAGTAAGCTGTGTGCCAAAGATTCGATGCTATAAGTAATGCACATAGGCAGTCAGTCATTGAGATTTTCCTGGTGTCGCACTCATCAGGAATGCAAAAAGACTCCTACGCCATGGAAACCCTTCGACAGCTTATCGCAGTTGTGCCTAACGGGTTTCTTCCAACCACTATCATTGGATTGATTTCTCTTTTCAGCTGGTACATCCGCGATGGCAAACCGTTTCACGGATTCAAGCTTGTCGGCAAAGGGCCGGGTGAATGGTCCAACAACGCGGCATTGAAGAGATGGCAAGATGCCCCCCTCAGGCTTATTAAGGAAGGTTTCAGAGCAGTATGTGTTTAAACGCCTCTCATGGGTCTGAGAGTGCTGTGACCCGTCGATCTAATCAGGTTGCAGACATCAGGACGGCCTTTTCAAGTCATAACAGACTCAGGTCCTTTGATCATGATTCCTCTGGATCTGGCAGATGAAATACGCAACGATCCCCGCTTGACCTTTGCCGGGTTCTTGGAGCGTGTCAGTTGAAACAACCAGCCTACTTTTTCTTCCATCTTGCACTGACTCGGCTTTGTTCTTCTAGCAACAACTAACAAACTATCCTGGACTCGACGCTTTACACCTCAGCACCAAGGAAGAAATCATCCAAGAAACGATTAGAAAACACCTTACCCAAGCACTCGGAGGCTTGACACAACGACTCTCTGACGAGGCGGCAGCAGTCTTGGACAGTTGTTTACTGACCGGAAACGGTAAGAGTACCCCAAGGCTATTAATGTTGCGGCCGAGATGAACAATCTTTTCCTAACAAACATCAATGGTAGGAGAGTGGCAGCATGTTCAATTTTACATGACCGCAGCCCAAACTGCGGCCAGGCTATCAGCCCTGGCATTCCTCGGCGATGAGCTCTGCCATAACCCCGAATGGATAGACATCTCCATCTCATTCACGGGCGTAGCATTGCATTCAGGAAATAGCCTCAGAGCTTGGCCGGCGATCTTGCGGCCGTTCGTTCATTATCTCCTTCCGGAACTCTGGTACATCAAGGGTATCACCAAAAAAGCTCGGGCTATTATTTTCCCCGAACTGGAGAGGAGGAGAGCGGCCCATTCAACATCCACGAAACCCCAAGATTCGCTCTCTTGGCTAGACGACGTCCGTGGAGATCGCAATTTCGACATTGTGAAGGGCCAGCTTTTCCTGACTTTTGCTGCTATCCACACCACGTCCTCCGCCCTAACGGCACTGCTATATGATCTCATTAATAACCCCAAGTACTTCGGCCTTCTTAGAGAGGAGATCACTCAAGTCTTGCAAGAAGATGGTGGCTGGAAGAAAACCAGCTTGTACAGGATGAAGCTTATGGACAGTTGCATGAAGGAAAGCCAGCGCTTGAATATCCTGGGACATCGTAAGTGCCATGTTGTTCTTACTCTTCCAAACATGACACGGTCGCTCACATCTCGGACAACCAGATATGATGAACCGCCGCGTCGAGACGCCAATGACCCTATCGGATGGCACATACCTGGCTAAAGGTGTTCATCTTGGTGTCCCTGTCTCTCACATGCGCGATTCAGAGTTTCTAGGCGAGAACCCGGATCAATTTGATGGCCACAGGTTCCTACGCATGCGGCAACAGCCAGGCCAAGAAAACAAGTGGCAATTCGTGACCACGAGCCCTCACTTCCTTAGCTTTGGGCACGGGAAGCATGCTTGCCCTGGGCGGTTCTTCGCTAGTAACGAGATCAAGATCATTCTCTGTCATCTGATTATGAAATACGACTGGTCCTACGAAAACGAGCCACCAAGGAGTGCTCACGAGCACCGATTCGTGCCTGACCCGCAGACAGTCATTTTGTACAAAAAGAGAGCGCCGGAAGTTCAGCTATAAATGCTTGCAGGATCTTTGCGCTGGCCAGTCTGAAAGGTCGCGTTCTGGCCGAACAGCTAATAATTGTGGGAGCGAGGGTATCCGCGGCTTGTTGCATTTCTCTTTTTTTTATTTTTATTCCAAGTGCGAGAGGTTACGAAGGCCCCGACTTTGGCAGATGGATAGAAACGAGCTTTGGTAGTATTTTGAGACAGTAAGGAGCACATGTAAACTATGGTAACGCTATGGACGTCCTTTGAATAGTGGACTGCTACCTCAACTTGAGGTCGATTTTGAGCCGCCAAGTACTGGGCGAGAGGCTGCCATCCTTCTTTTTCCAACTCAACCCAATAAAGGACACAGATAATCCCAGATGCCATTAACAGCATTCGTCTTTAGATCGTAACACTTTCCTTAGCGAGAGGCAACACCTTCTTACCACACGTATAGAACTCATACTTGGCGTCCTTTGCATGGTCTTCTAGCACTGGGTTAGACACGCGAATGGCTTTAGCACCCCTCGTGATCATATCGTCGCGATACTCCGCGGTGAATTTGACCACATCCTCACTCTTTCCTCCAGCGTCCCGGATGCTGGTAATGGCGCAACCCAGTCTCAAGCCATCCGTGATTGCGCATACGCCAGCCTCTCCTCGGACTGTGAAATGTGCTGTTAGCTGCGAAATCTTTATATATCACTGAAGAGGTCAAACTCACATGGTGTCATCGAATGCGCGGCGTCTCCAGCTAGAGTGATTCTCCCGGCGGGGAGCTGATCAGCAGTCAACTCCACGCTCTGCAGCACAATGCCGGGCTGTCTGTATCTCTCGACCGGTACCTTGTCGACAAGTACGCGCAAATTGTCGGGATACTGCTTGGTGCACCTCTTCGCAAAAGCCATGAGCTCCTCCCGCGACGCCGTAACAGTCCAGAACGGCTTGTCCCCGGTGCTCTTCGCTGCTTCCTCGTCGATCCAGTGGAGAATGAAGTAGAAATACCCGGTCTTCTTGTCCGGGCTGATTTTGTTCAAGGCGGCGAACAGGCTGACCTGGCTCGGTCCCTCATTCTGCGGCGTCGAATCCAAGACAATGTAAGCCGAGTGGCCCAGCTCGATCTGGTGCTTGAGCTCATCGCCAGTCAACTCGATCTCACCAACCAAGGACCCGACAGGCAGCGGCTTCATGATCTCTTGTCCGCCCAAAATGTGTCTGCGCACCAAGCTCCGGCTTCCCTCTGCCCCGACGAGGATGTCGCCAGTCTCGGAGCTGCCATCCTCAAAGTGCGCCACAACTTTGTCGTCTTGTTCCTCTACGCGCACCAAGCGCTTGTTGAACTGTACGTGCAGGTGCTGGAGGAGCCAGTCCCGCAGGCGCTGGCGGTTCGCGCGGACAATTTTGCCGGTCTCATCGTCTGTGACGCCAACTCTCCAGTCGGGCTTGCTGACATCGTAGAAGACAAATTGGGCTGGGATGTGGTCCAGAGGGCTCAGGTGGTTGGTTTGCTCTATGGGTCCGAGATCCGCAGGCATCGAGGCAGAGACTTCGGCCAGCATGGGACCATGAAGTGCAATGGCCCAACCTTGCGCTCTGGCGTCAGATCTGCTGTCACGCTCAAAGATCGAGAAAGAGATGTTGTTCTTGCGCAGTATCTGAGCAAGTGTCAGGCCGCTGAGTCCGGCGCCGACAATGAGGACATGGGGGTTGGAGTTCGACATCGTGTTGTATGTTTGGTAACTAAAGAAGATGAAAGGATATTCGATGAGGGATTCTTCATGATCTTGGGCGCTTTTGCTCAAATATTTATATGTGAATGATATTGATACATTTATGTTGAACCGCTGCCATTCGCAATCGCTTTCATTCTGTCTGTTCCGTCAGTTACAACCTTACAGGGGTACGGCGTATTATTCCCGGTCGGATTCCAGCTTCATACATGAAGCACGACCTCACTGGTGGCCACTGTCCCGCGACCCCACATTGGTGATGCAGATCAGAACCACTTGTGTTCCCGAATGATACGTTTCCACTTCTGGACGCACTGACATTTTTCATGGGTTGAAATCATTAAGGTCTCTTGATCCCCCCGGAGTTGTGTTCAAGTTTCAATGGCTTCTTCGCCGTTGGCTTTTTGGGTCCTCTGATGTTCCCAGGGAAGCGTCAACTGCATTCCCAACCGCTGACACAACAGTGGACACAACAATGATATCCCAACCGGGAAGGAACAATGGTTCTGAAAAGCTCTGCAACTATTTATCATTGCGGTCTGTCTCAAATAAACGGGAAAGACCTTATCTTAGGAATTTGTGGGAGAGTAATTGGCTGACTGATGTTCATTGCGAGATTGAGAGAAAGCAGATTTATTTGAAGATCAACGCATGATCGGGCCTGCAAACAAAAACATCCTTGCGCAAGCACCCGAACATTTCCATGCAGAGTCTTCAATCACCGCTTTCCAGTACATGATGAAGAAGAATCTAGAAGGCCGTGACTAGCTCAACGACACCAAACGCTTCGGTGTATCCGTAGAAAGAACCGGCAGCCTCAACAAACCCTTCGTAAGCCGAGTCAATCAATGCCTTCTCGCCATACATTTCCTGGTCCGGACGCACAGAGTTAACAACTAAGTGGTCGCCGTTCTCAAAGGTGAGCTTCCAGCTGAGCGGGTATGTAAGCTTGGAGTTTGGGGATACCCAGGTGTTGGAGTAGTCAGGTGAAAGCTCGTAAGCAAGGACGTGGTACCCATTGCCCACCCTGATGGTTGCGAAGCGAGTGCTCTCGTCATCAACAAGGTCCCATGCCCAGATGCTTGCTTTGATGTCCGATCCCGGGAAGTGAAGTTCAAACCAGGTCCAGTTCTTGGGGGCTCCGTGTGAGAGCTGTCTGTCGTACCAGGTGAACGAGTTGCTGGTGTCGACGGAGATGGTCTTGTTATTCAGCGTGATCGTGCCCGCGGTTCTTCCGTTGGGGATGCCCCATTCTGTGGCGTTGATCGGCACGTTGCCAAAGGGGATGATGCCACCCCCTCCATTAAGCATAACACGAGGGCCTCTGGCCGTTCACTGTGATTTTTACCTGCTTAGAGCGACAGACCTCATAACTCCGCGCCTCCTGACAATACACACAGCCTTCGGTTATGTGATCGTAACTCTACTAACCTCAGCTGCACTTATATATGCACGTTAATAACTTCACTATCTTTAACTTCATTTTAGCAATAATGTGGTTTGTGATTACTTAATTACTTAATTACTGTAGACTACTGAACTATTAACTTATCCTCTCTCTTATGCATCACTTATACTACTATTAAACACTATCCTTATTACTACTTTACTATTTACTATATAAGTTAGGATATACTCCTTTTATTATAGCTATATTACTAAGCTCTGCTTACTAAAGTGGCTTCTTTAGAAGTAAGTTGTTACTATTATTATCTTCTTATTTAATTAGGCTAGCTAATACTTTTGCAGTAGCTATACTATTATTAGTAATACTCTCTTTATATAATAGTTAGCATAAGGTGTACTCACTAATATTTAAGCCTTATTAGGTCTAAGCTTAAGCTACCTCTACTTTAGTATTATAGAGGACTTACGTAAAGAAGGGCTACTCCTTAAGGTAGCTAGAAATATATATAGCCTCTATATAGAGGCGTCTAAGGCTATTATTTATTACTTTAATTATAGTATAGAGAGGGTCTCCTCTAGAGGTATTTATAAGAGCTCTAGCTATAGCTACTTTAATAATATACTACTAATTAGTAAAAAAGTACTTACTAAATTTAAAGGCTTTATTTATTATATAGATATTATTTTATATAGTAATACCTTTAGCTATTCTCTTATAGAAAGGTATACTTTATAGGGGATTAGTGTTCTTATATATCTCTTGTGGTGTAGATATAGTGAAGGATTTATTATAGGTTAGGAAGAGGAAGAGGGATAGGTATAAAGCCTTATGCTAGAGTTTTTATGCTTCTAGCTGTAAGAACCTCTTCTAACGACCTCTTTAGTTAAGGAGTTATCTCTTATGTAGTAGCGTTATAACCTCTTTAGTTGAGGAGTTATCTCTCTTATAGTGGCGTTACTAAGCTATGAGAGCCTTAGTGACCTCTTTAGCCCTAATATGATTAGCCCCGCGCCGCGCGGCTGGCGCTGTTGCTGTTCCGCCGGTCTATTCAGCTAGGGCGTGCGTTCGACTTTATGCAGTAACGTTCAGAGGGTTTGCTTACTAGCAGGAAAGTATAGGGTTTCTATACTATTTTCCTTAATTAGTAGAGGGTATAGGTTAAGGTACCTATATAGTGTTTCCAGAATTATGCCTGCGTATAGGGTGAATTTTGCCGTAGTCTTTTTGCGGGGGGGCTGCGTCGTAACTACAAACTCAAGCATAACACGAGAGGTCAAGTTCCATTCCAGATCAATCGAGAAAGACTTCTCAGGGTGGGCGTAGGTGTACATAGTCGAAACGCTGTCGTCTGAAGTAGAACCAAAGCCAAAGGTCCCATAATCAGCATTCAGGGGGAGGCCGTTGTCGAAGCCGCTACCATCGGTGTTGTTGCAGTAGGTAAGGTCAACCCAATAATCATGGGTCTGAAGATCTAGTATCGACGAGCGGCAGACAGAGGGTATGGTGGTAAGAAGATGGGACAGAGTCATGTACTGTCGCCCATCATCTCCAGTGATGAAGGAGCTGGCCCAATAGGAAGATCCGGTGGTGATATCATACTGGCTCTCGGTGTAGTTCAAGAGAGCCGGGATGTTGGGCTTTGGTTTGTCAGACGTCAATTGAAAATACCAAGCTACGGGTCGCAGTATCTTACGTTTCTGAAGTCGGCTTGATCTTCTGGCTGGAAGATGTATCCATTTGCCAGGGACACAAAAGGCACAATAGCTGCGATCTTCATGTTGACCTGAGATTGAATTTCCGTAACGAGAGTGTGTTTGATCCAATGGCACCTGAAAAAGCGTGAACGACAATTGTATCAGTGCTGAAAAGACGAGGCGGCGGGTCGAATGATCCTATTCCTATAATCCTATTACCACGAGTCCATCTGCTCCCTTATATGCGTTTTCCCTTTCCGACCTCTCAACCTCCTGTTGACCTCACATCATCGTTGAAATTCAGTTGCAGCTCAAAATGCATGCCCCTATTCAACAGTCACGCCACGATTGCGGCAATGACAATTTCGCCATAGCCCAGTGCGATTCTCCAGGAAGGGAATCAAAATCCCGAGGTTCGGAACCGCAGGTAAGAATCTCAGTGGGCTCCGATCCCTGAAAACAGAACTGCATGATGAGCTAGTCATCGAAGCAAAGAAACAAAAAGTGGAGATGAACTCGCCATGAATATCTTTTGATTACCGGCAACGTAGTGACGTCCATCGGCCTGCTACTCGCCCCGAAGTATCGGCATTCGGGAGCTTCCAATCAGTGGCTGAGCTAGACAAGACCGACGCCGACTGTCTACTTACGGTCGGTGTCATATAAGGCATCAAAATGTCCTTGCTTGGACGGAGTCGGGATGCTATGAACCTTCTGGGCCCGGTTCACCTATAACAGGCCTCCAATTGCGTGCTTTGGTGTCCGCATAGTCGTGTATAACGATGTAGATCTCTCGATGAACGGGGTCCGCGATCTCTCATACTACCAGCGCTGTTGAACGAACCTGAAAATCCAACCCGAATCAAGTATGATTCCCCACCAAATGGAGCTGGAAATTTTGTTCCCAAACCCTGAGACCTTGGAACATCCGTACATATACTGTTTTCCGTAGTTAGCTATCGACGGTTGCTAGACTTGATGAAACGGCTTGGTCAATTACCTTCTGGTGCGAGTTCCCTTGCCCTTGTGGTGTTTCCACTACCTGTCAGGGGGATCTCAACAGGCGGTAGGACCCCTTTTAAAGCCACTCAGACAACCACACATGCCTAGCTCGCTAACTTAACTCACCACAATGCTAGGTTGTAACGCAACGGATCGATCTACTACATGTGGAAAAAAGCTATGATAGACACTTGCGAAGGAAATGATTCGCTTAGATGATCTATCGTCTACCTTATGCCGAAGAGAGATAGCATTGATTAAGCTACATTCTTAGGCTTTCCGTCTTCGGGAGGACTCCGTCGCTGCAGCGAAGCCCCAACATTACATCAACGCGCTGCTCCACTCATACTACCATCCCTATATCGAGCTTTGTTTGCCATTTTCGGGCTCTGTTGGCTACCGACCCGGGTGAAAGCCCGAGACTCCGACGGCACCACGCAGCTCTCGTGTAAACCTTGCCAAGAGCAACAATAGTCCTATCAGATCGTCATCACAGGCGATAAAGAGCAAGAGCCAGTATGATAAAAGTATCTTTTTCGAACAAAGCTTTCATCGAAGATACATGTTAAAATTGGTATATATAAAATGCCTCCATGCGCCAGATATAATCCCACAGACCACCCTAAACTCCATGCCATGCCAGACAACTTCATTATATCGACAACATTATTTCAGATCTATTAGCCTTCGTAGGCATTCAAGAAATGAATCATCGTCTAAATTACGTCTAAACCCTCTCTTGATGCGCAGCGCCATCTTGGTCCTTCGGCCTGACGCTCTTCTCGCCGGCAGCAGAGTCACTAGCGTTGGGGTCAAGCTCCGTGCCAGCCTGCTTGCGGATCTTGGCCATCTCCTCTGCGGAGGGAGGCACCCACTGGGTGCTCTTCCAAGGAGTGACGCGCTCGAGGTACATGGTGTCGATCTCCTCGAGGGTGCGGCCCTGGCCTTCAATAACGAAGAAGTAGACCAGGCCAGCGGCGACGAGGTTGCATCCGGCAAAGACGTAGCCGTAGCGGAAGTCGATCGCCTTGGTGATGAAGGGAGAGAAGAAACCGATGAAGAAGTTCCAGGTCCAGTTGGAGGCGGTGGACAGAGCCATCGCCTTGGCACGGTAGCGGGAGGGGAACAGCTCGGCCTGGATTGTCCAGATCATGGGTCCCCAGGTGGTAGCAAAGCCCAGGATGAAGAGAGCGGCGAACACGATGAGGGCGATGCCGGCACCCTGGGTATTCTGCGGGTTGACCTGGTCGAGGCTGAAGTGGCCAACCGAGGCGAAGATCATGAAGCAGATGAACATCCAGATAGCGCCCGTGATGAGGGACTTGCGGCGGCCGTAGTGCTCGACGATGTAGAGGCCAATGAAGGTCGTACCGAAGTTGATGGCGTTGAGAATGATCTGCGTGATGAAGGAGTCGATATTAACGGACGCAAAGATCGTAGTTCCATAGTAAAAGAAGTAGTTGGCGCCAGTCAGCTGCTGGAACATTTGGAGTAACATTCCCAGAGCAATGCGGTAGGCCATGCGAGGCGCCTTGAACATTCCGGTGAACTCGCTGACGGCACTTCCCTTGATCTGTGACTCGGCGCGCAGCTTGCTCTCGATCTCCTCAAGTTGGACGTGGATAGCATAGTGGTTCTCCGGAGCACCGTAGACACGGCATAGCGTGCGCTTGGCCTCTTCGACTTTGCCGATGCGGTAGTTGAAGCGGGGAGTCTCCGGGAAGGCGAGGATACCAACACCGAGGATGATGGTCCACAGCCAGCCGAGGCCGATGACGATGCGCCAGGAAGCGGAGCTGTGCTCTTGGTGCGTTACGGTGCCGTAGTTGAAGCACGCAGCGAGGAAAATACCTTTAAACCAATTAGTCGGGCTATCAATTAGACCGGGAAAAAACAATTCGTACCAAGAGTGATGAAGAGTTGGTATGCGCAGACAAGAGCGCCGCGAATCCAGGGCGGAGCAGTCTCGGCCTGGAACATTGGTACGATGAGACTCAACGCGCCAACTCCGAATCCCGCGACGAGACGGCCGCCCATAATCTGTTCCCAATTGCGCTCGGCGGCGATCTGGATCACGAAACCGATGGACGTGATGACACACCAGAAGGAGATGGAGAGCCTGCGACCGAACTTGTCGGCGATGGGAGCGGCGACGAGGGCGCCGATGAGGGTACCGATGGAGAGGAGACCGACGATGAGGCCGGAGCGGACATTGCTGAATTTGGGGGTGGCGTCCGGGGAATCGCGCTCGCCGAAGCGGTCGAGGAAGTCTGGCATCTCGAGAAATCCCGAGATCTGACCAGTGTCATATCCGAAGCTGCGTTTTGTTAGTGTCCGTAAGCGCCCAGGTGCCGTCTAGATAGAACTTACACCATGCCTCCCATGGAGATCAGAATGCCCATTGCCCATGATCGCCCGGAAATGCGCTTGAGCGGGGAGTAGTCGAGATGCGCGAGGTCCTGGCGGGCATCGCTCGCCTTCTCGGAGGCGGGATTGTACTTGTCGAATTCTATCGTCGAGAAACCCATGTTGGGCGACGGCGATGGCTGTGTTGATGTAGAGGTAGGTGTAGGTTGAGGAGGCTTCTATGTGCCTTTTGGATGGTTCGTCCGAGACATAGAGAAGTATTCTTGGGGGACATGGCGGGGTGTATTATATGTGTGTTTCGTCGATCGACACACGAGCATTGAACGGTGCTCGCAAAGCTGGGCCGGAAACAACACGAGCAGTCGGTAGGGGGCGTGTCGCTAGCGAGGAGGCGTGACGTCAAGAGGAGGGCCGAGGGCCGCGTCGAGAGGTGTGAGTGAGTGCCCGATGACTTGGGATGGACAGGATGGCACCGAGGTGCAGCCGTCCGGGCTCTGGGGTCTCCAGGCGATGAAATCGGTCCGGTCCCCATCTGTTGGAAGCTCCTGGACGGGCTGCTTTGCTCCAGCAGGACATGGAGATTGGATGATTGGGGGACTGGAACCAGAGGCATGGGGCGGAGGTATTACCAATGCGGCTCTCGTGGTGATGGGATTTTGAAAATGTGGAGTTTGAAGGAGGGCATGGTGCGAGACGGTAGTCGGCCGGGCCCAGGCCCGAGGCCTGAAACCCAGCCTAAATCCCGCCTTTACGTAAGGGATCAGCTATACTACTTTATAGCTAGTTACGCTTAGTATTTATAGCTAGATTAATTAAGCTACTTTACGTAGGTTATAAGCCCTCTAAATACCTAAATCTATCTATTAAATAGTAAGGTTATTCCTAAGTAGCTATTAAGACTCTAACTTTATAGTTTAGTAATTACTAAAAAGTAATTAATAAATTATTAAGCTATTAGAAGTAATACTTCTAAGTAGAGATTATAGCTATTATAATATATATCCTCTACTTATAAAATCTCTTTAGCTTTTAAGCTATTAAAGTTAATAATTATTTAATAATTATTATAGTTATATAGTAATAACTACTTAATAACTATCTAATAATTACTCTTAACTATTACTTAAATCTTTTTTAAACTATTAAATTAATTAAATAAAATAATATATTTTTATTTAATAATTTAATTTTATTTTCTTTTAGTTTTATTAAAAGGAGATTATTTTAGATTAACTTTCTCTTTTTTTTTACTATAAACTTTATAGTTAGAGTAGCTATATAGAAAGTAGCTAATAAAGGATTAGATCTAAGAAGTCTAATATATAATATTATTCTTAAACTAATTAAAACTATAAGTTTTAAACTATAAGAGATTAATCTTAAAAATGTTTTTAAAGTAATAAAATTACTTTTTTACTTAATAGCTAAAAGAATACTAAATAGATATAATAGAGATATAGTTTTTAAAGAAAATAAAGTAATAATAGTTAAAAATCTAAGTTCTTTAAGTAATTTAATATTTATAGGTTTTATACTTATTAAATAGTTATTTATAGAAAAGATCTAATATAATCTCTTAGAAGAAATAATTAATAATAGTCTTTTTATTATAGCTTTAGCTTTTTATATTTTTATTAAAACTAAAAAATATATTTAGAAGTTTAATAAGTTAGCTATAAGTAAAGTTTATAATAACTAGAATAAAATAACTAAAGTTAACTATAGTAATATTAAGGATTTTATATAAGATCTTTATTTAACTTTTAATAAACTAAATAGCTTTAGTATAAGCTTATTAACTATAGCTCTTATTTATAGATTTATTTAGGGTTTTAGATATTTTAATTAAGTAAAAGTAGATATTATAGAGAATAATTTTATTATAAAACTTTAAACTTATAATAACCTCTTATAAGAATTTAGAGGTTTTAGTAAAAAGGAATAATATAAGTAAGTTTTTTAAAGTATTAATACCTCTTTAAATAAGAAGAGGTTTTTTTCTAAAAAGTAACTTTAAATAACTAAACTTAGTAAACTATAAGACCTTTATACTTCTTATAATACTAAATATCTTAAGAACCTCTATAAGTATAAGATATATAACTCTTATTATAGAAAGATAACTTAATACTTTAAGAAGTATAGTAAGTATTCTTTTAAATACTTTAGATATTATACCTTAGTATATAATAAGTTTAAATACTTAAATAAACTACTAATAACTTAATAATTAATAATATAAATATCTACTTTAGTATTTATTTTAAAAAGCTAAACTTAAGATAGTGTTTTTAGAAACTTTAGTATTAAATAGGATATTAACTAACTATTTAAAGCTTTTATAGATACTTTATTAGTTTAAACTTAGAAGAGAACCTTTTTATTATTCTTAATAGATAACTTTAGAGTATTTAGTTTATATTTTAACTTTTAATCTCTTACTAGAGATCTATATAAAGTTAACTATATATAGAGAGTTAAGAAGTAACTAATAAAGATATTTAAATACTCTATTTATAGTTCTACTAGCTAAACTATAGAAATAGAGATTAATAATTTCTTTATATATAATACTATTAAAGAAGCTAATAAAGAAGAAAATAATAGCTAAGAAGTATAACTATATTAATATATTATATTTATAGCTTCTATTAAGAGAATAAACTCTTTTATATTAAATATTAGTACTAATAGGTATATTCTTAATAATCTCTCTATTTTTAAAGAACTTTAAGATCTCCTTTAAAGATTAATTATAAACTATATAAGTAGAAAGGACTAAATTAGCTAAACTATTAGTATAGCTAAAGTGATTATTATTAAGCTAAATAGTAAAAAGACTACTTTTTAACTATATAGTACCCTCTATAAACCTTATAATATAGTATAAATTATTAATATTAGTCTTCTTTAGAAAATAAATATCTATTTTAATAGTTTAGATAATACTTTAGTTTATAAAAATATATCTAAAGCTATTACTAACTTTAAATAAGATATATAAGTCCTTTAGCTTTAGATCTATTTTTCTAATTAAGGTGATAAATTTAGCTCTCTTAAGCTAAATTACTAAACTTTTTATACTTATTTAAGGTATCTATTTAGAGAAGTAATTATTATTACTATAAAAGATATTAATATAAACCTCTTTAGAGTACTTTTTATAGGATATAAGTATTATATCTACTTTATAGTAAAGTTAATATAATATATTAATAATAGATAATAAGAATAACTAACTTAAGTTTTTTAGAGACTTTAGATTAATTTCTTAAAACTAATATTATAAAGCTTTAGAGGTATTACTTATAGCCTCTATATTATAGAAGCTTTCTTAACTTATAGATAGTTTTAAGTATTTAAATTAAAAAAAGATATAACTATTTAGTTATAAAGCTAGTTTCTAAAAAAGATTATAATAATAAATAGTATTATTTACTTCTCTAAGGTTATTATAGATAATAATATAGCTCTTCTTAAAGTAATAGAGCTTTTTACTTAAGAATAAGGCTTCTATTTAGAAATAGTAACTTTAAACTATTATTAGTAGAATAGAGGAGTAGAAGGTTTTAATAGAGCTATATAGTAGAAAGTATAAATAATATATATAGAAGCTAGCTTTTCTAAATCTTTTTAGCTTTAGTTAATAAAGACTTCTATTAAAATTAGTAATTTATTATCTAATAGTAAAAGTAATATTAATCTTTATAAAAAATTAATAAATACTTTTAATATATCTCTTACTATAAAAAAACTATATATATATTATCTCTACTACTAAAGCTACTAAACTTATATCTATATTTACTTAAATAGCTATCTATATATAAAAAGATAGAAAATAAAGTTTAAAGCTAAACTTAGAAGATTTATAGGATATAATAACCTCTATAGTAATATCTTTTATATTTTTATTAAAAAGACTAATAGTATTTAGTAAGTGAGGGATATAATATTTAAAGAAGATAAAAAAGAGCTTTTCTTAGTTAAATTTAATAACTTATAGCTAAGAGAAGAGGTTAAGCTAGAAACCTATAAGTATAATAATAAATTACTAATTATAACCTATAAAGCTAAGTTTTAGCTTTATAACTTAAATATAAAGTTATATTATTATATTTATTCTACTAAATAAGAATAACTATAAGGGGAGGTAGATAATTTATACTTAGAAAATACTTAAGAATTAGAAAGTAATAATAAATAAGAATAAAAAGATAAGCTTCTTTAAGAATAAGAAGAAGTTAATAGAAAAGAGGGTAGTTTACTAACCTTAGATTTAGAACTATATATACTAATATAAGATATTAATACTATAAATATATAAGTATAATTAATATTAAAAGAAGATTCTCTTCTATACTAATATTCTCTTACTACTCCTCTAAATTAAAGTTCTCTTACTATCTCTTACTAATAATAGAGTTCCCTTATTATATTACTATAGCTAAGATTCCCTATTATTTCCCTTTAAATATTTTAACTAATATAAAAAAAACTAAAGGGAAGACTAAGGGGTAATAATAGAGGCTCTACTCTTATAAAATTACTAAGAGTAGCTACTTCTTCTTTAAGTTAAATAACTTAGATATTTAGAACTTAGGTACTATATAATATAAAGAAGTTTAATAGAGAATTTAATAAGATAGGAGCTATAGAGATTAACTTAATTAATAATAAAATAGATTAAAAACTAGTTATTTTTACTTTCTTAGTATTTAACTTATTATAAGCTTTTAGTTTAGAGATTTATTTACTTATAACCTTTAGGAAGTAAGAGGTAATAAAAGAGAGACCTCTAAAATTAATTATCTTTAATACTATAAAGATTTAAGTTAATAGCTTATAAGGAATAGATTACTAATAGCTTAAAGAGCTTTTAGATAGTTTTAAATATCTCTTAAGTAAATAGGTATATAATAAGAAAGTTATTATAGATAGAAGATTTAATAAAGTTAGAGTAAGATAGGTTATTTATAGTAACTTTTAAAATAAGGATAATAAAATAATTTATATTACTATTACTAATCTTATTACTCTATAAGTTTTTTTACTAATTATAGTACTTAAAGATCTAAAACTTTATTAAGTTAATATAGTTATAGTTTTCCTAAATACTTTTATAAGAGATTAAGATATTTTTATTACTTAACTTTATAGGTTTAATAATAAATCTAGCTAGTTCTATAGATTAAAAAAAGCTCTCTATAAACTAAGAGAATCTCCTCTTCTTTAGTATAAATAAATTATTATTATCCTTAAATAATTAAAGTTTAATTTACTACTAAAAAAACCTTATATTCTTATTAATAAGGATAGTATTATAATATTACTTTATATTAATAATATATTTATTACTATACCTAATATTAACTAAGTTAATAACTTTAAAGATAACTTATATAACTTCTTCTAAATTAAGGATTTAGGTGAGGTATAATAATTCCTTAAGTTTAAGATTATTTACTACTATAAAATAAAATAACTTTAGATCTTATAAGCTAAATATATTAATAATATACTAATAGAGAAAGGTATTATTAAATATAACTAAATGTTCTACTACTTTAGTAATATTTAGCTACTAGAGATTATAGAATAATATAAAACACTTATTAAAATATATAAATATTAAAGTAATCTAAGTAAGTTATAATAGATTATAAATAGTATATAACTAGATATTATAACGCTTATAGGTAGAGCTACTAGAGATTAATAATATACCTCTAAAAAGTATAATAAACTACTAAGATTAATATAGAGATATCTCTATAGCTTATAATAATTAGTACTCTATTTTAGTAGTTTAAGATATTTTATTAATAACTTTAAATTATTAGTATTTTATAATACTAGCTAGTTTAATTATAAAAGAATAAGTAAATTAATAACTAGTTATATAGTTATATATAGAAAAGTACTAATTATTTAGAAATCAGTACTATAATTATTTATAGCTATATTAACTTATAAAGCTGAATAAATAAATCTAATACTTAGAGGGAAGGCTTTACTATATATTATAGATCTCTTTAAAAAGATAAATATCTCTATTTAATTACCCCTCTAAATATATATAGATTTTATAAATACCCTTAATAATTATCTATTAAGTAAATAGTTACTTAAATTATACTATATTAAGATTAAGTATTACTAGATTATTAATAATATTAGTAATAAGGATTTTAAGATTAACTATATCTTAATTTATAAGATAGTTATTAATAGTTTTACTAAACTATTAATAGTAGAGAAGTATTATAATTTTATTAGAATACTAAGTTTATCTAAATTACTTATAACTAATAATAAGTCTTAATCTAAGGATAATATTTTAAGACTTAATCTTAATTAAGTCCTTTTTATTTATTTATTTCTTTTATATATAATAACTTTATTCTTTTATATCTTATTAACTAATTAATTTTTATAGTTAAACTTTATATTATTTTAATTACTTTAATTTACTCTACTTAATAGTTAAATTACTAATTATAAAAGTTTTTTATATAAAAAGTTATTTAATAATAAAAGCTTAAAAAGTAATTAAAAACTTTAACTTCGCTAAGTTATAAGTTTATTACTAAATTAGATATCTTAGTTAGTATTTCTTTAAATTATAACTATACTAAGTTTAACTAATAAAAGTTAATTAATTTTAGACTTAGATAAAATTAATATAAGTTTAAAGTTTAAAAGAGTAAAAAATTAATTAACTAAACTTTAAAAGTATTATAAGAAAATTAATCTTTAAAGTAATATTAATTAAGAATTATTATATTTAATACTTAACTTAATATAATTAGTAAATTAGAGGAGAGGTATTATAAAACTAATTAATAACCTAAAAATTACTACTTTTAGAAAGAGAGAGCTATTTAGAATATAAGATCTAAGATTAAACTAAAGAGGATAGTTTTTAGATTTATTTAGGTTAAAAGCTAACTCTATAAAAGAGAATTAAATAATAAACCTCTAAGTTATTAATCTAGAGGTTTAACTAAATATTAAAAGTAGAAAGTAATACTAACTATACTAAATAGCTATTTAATTATCTTTATAGAGATAACTTAAGTAATAATATTAATATTAATTAGCTATATAAAAACTAAATAAAGTTAAGAAATATTTTAGAATTAAAATAAAATAATAATAGTAATATAGAAAAGTAGAAATAATATATAAAAATAAGAATAATATAAAACTAATATATAATTAATTAGATTACTACTTTAGAATAGGAATAGCTTTAATTATAGCGCTAGAGGTATTAGCTAAAAGGGGGGTATAAAATAGTAGTTAGTTAAGCTTAGGCCTAAAGCCTAAAACCTAGCCTAAATCCCACCTTTATATAAGGGATCAGCTACACCACTTTATAGCTAGTCGCACCTAGCGCTCATAGCTAGATTAATCAAGCCACTTCACGCATATAGTGAATGACTGCGGGAGTCCCATAGGTAGCTGGCCGGGGTCTGGGGTCCTGAGCTGGGGCGATTGACGATTGTTCCCTGGAACGCAGTCTCGAGATTGGTGAATGATTGTATGACGTTTGTGGATGGCGGTGGGTCTGCGTGGGAAGCAGACGTGGGATGATGTAAACGTGAGAATAGCGAGGCGCCAACTGCTGTCGGAGCTGATGGTGGCCGTTGTGCCTGGTAACTTGGCTTTGTTTTTCCACCAGAAAGATACATGCGAGTGTCAGCTCTAATCAAGAGGGCGTGCCGGGTGAGCCGGGGCCAGGGGTGTCAGGAACAAGCAGCAGTTGGCTCGCATGCTAGCTTGTCTTGTCTTCTCTCTTTTCGGGGTGCCCATGGGGTTGACAGCAGGCAGTAAAAAGTAGAGCCCGTGGAGTTTGGAGAAGCATAATCATCTGTTCGCCTCTAGATTGAGTTAGCTGAGCTGTCAGGCGCTCTTGTGTTCTAAGTTTCTGTGTTGTGATTCTTCTTCTAGAAGCTGGAAACATGAACATGAAAAATATCGTACACAGCCGCCGGCTTAGTGAAAGTAAGTATTTCCCAACTGAATTTCTATGACAGGGTACACCGAGTCAGCCCCCAAACCCGATGACGGCATCCTTCCGCGGGCTGCAGCAAGCCCTGTCCTAATTAATCTCCAGTCCTTCTTCCCACTGCTTGTACTTCTATCCGTCGCCTGCCTGCACCTCTCTTCTCTGCCGCTTCGCCAATCACGCCAAGTAAGCTCCCGACCGGGTGGATCGGATCTGACCTGCGCCAAGCGCCGTTGTTCCCAGTTCCGATCACCGAACAAGTGTCTTGGAAACCACAGACAAGCACCTGTTTCCAAGCCGCCAAATAACTCTTGATTGAACCACCACCACCGGTCGCATCGCGTGTTGTGCCTCCGTCGAAGGATTCCGGTGATCAGTCGAAAACAGACATCAATTCAGAAGATCGGCTCCCCCGCGTAACCCGCCCGCCCCCGTCAGATGACGTCGCCCGCCAGCTCCGGTTTTCTTTTTTATTTCCTTCACGTTACCGCGGCCATGGCCTCTCTTCGGCCCTTCTCTCCTCGCGATCCTCCAGAGTCTCCAGCCAAGCCCCAGACATTCTCCAGAAATCTCCAGTCTTTTGCTTTCGTGTCCTGCCTGTCTTCCCCAAACTGCCACCTCACTTGCCTGATTCTACAGGTCTAACCGGCCTGTCGGTCGCCGTCCGAAGGCGCACGCCCGCACAAGTTCCCCGAGGGGCACCCGGATTCTCGTCTTTGGGTGGTGCTATCTTTTTTCGTTGGGTCACTCGGGGAGTCGGGGCCCCTTCTGGGGGAAGAGACACGCAGAAAAGGGGTCTCGAGTTGAGACCTGACAGAAAAAATCAAGACAGAGGGAGACCCGTTGTTTCGGCCTCCGCCTTGGACCCCGATGCCGCCCAATCACATCATCACCACGCCGTCTCTGGCTCCTTCACTCCGTTCGATTGTCGTGAGAGGTGATTGAGGCTCCCACGGGGTTCGGCGGTGGTCTGGCATCTACGGGCATCCGCGACGGACTCCGCTTTTTATCAGTCACACAATCATCCATTCCGCGTCTGCGCTGCCTCGGCCGGAGACAGAAGTCGGCACTGAGCCTCATTTCCTCACAAGCGTAGGAGATAACCGGAACACGCGATGCCCAACTGCTCCACCCGCGTCACGCGTCCCTTCTAGAATCACCGTTTTTATTTCGTCGCACGAGACGCGAAACACTGGAGCCCATTGATGAGAAATCGAAACTCGCAAAATCAGGGGATTATGTTCTTCCTCTCGCTTGCTCCCTCCACCTATCGGGGATAACGCTCCACGCCAGCGGTCCTTGAATGAAGAAGAGACTGACTGTTTGACAGCCACGTGAATCAACACCGCCATCCGACATCCGGCCGTTACCATCAATCTTTGATCTGCCGTGTTATTGGTACGCATACAGATATCTTGCTAATCAATTCTCATCCACTTTTCTCGGTCGCACTGCGGAATATTTCCCCATTGCTAATGCGCAAGCTATCTGCAAGGAACATCGCCCATACGACAAAAAAAGGCAAAGACGCACAGATCAAATACACCTGTCTCTCTACCGCCACCCCCGTACCCAACTACTCAACTGGGTTTCTGAACGAAAGTTGCGGGAACGCAAAGGCCCGTCGACTTTCACTCCCGCAAAAATCGTTCTTCCCGTTTCAACTCCCGGAGCTTCCATGGCATTTCCCTGGTCTACAAGCAAGCAAAGACTTCAGACCCATCCGAGTTGCGAACCCAATCATTACGAGATCTGTGTGTAACGGACCGAATGCCACTCATGCTGCGGCTCACCACGTGGATTCCAGACCGTTCACCCCCGTTGGCTTGTCTGCCAGCGTGGTGATCCGGAACCCGTGGCGCAGGCCTTCTTGCGGGTTGTGGACGTTGTAGTCCGAGATGGCCGTGTGCGCCGTCACGCGGTTGTCCCAGAGGGCTACGGTGCCTTCTTCCCACTTGATGCGGACCTGGAAGTCCTGGCCCAGCGTGATGTGCTGTTTTTGTTCCTGGTCAGCAAAAGATTCGCGAGCAGAAGCTGGGTGTCGAACCTTGAAGAGGAGCTTCAGGAGAGCATCCGACTCTTCATCACGAAGACCAATGATCTTCTTCGTGAAGCCCGGGTTGACGAAGAGCGCTTTCTGACCAGTTGCCTGTCGCTTGGTAAGCATCAAACTATTCTCATCATCTTCATGAGTCTGTCAAAACATACCGGGTGAATCCGGACCACCGGATGCTCCGACCTCACCGGCTCCCTCCTCACAAACTTCCCATCGCGCCTCGCGTTCTCCGCCTGAGGGAAACCACTATGCTCCGCCCTCAAGCCCTCCAGCAAGGTCTGGATAGGCCTCGAAAGCCGCGCGTACGCCGCCGTCTGCGACACCCAAGCAGTATCACCGCCCGTCTCCGGGACGGAGAGCAGCGTCAGGATCGTGACGCCCGGCGACTGTTGCTCATACGACACGTCCGAGTGGTATCCAATCGTGGAAAGCTTGTTGCTCTTACTGCGGTTGCGGTACTCGTTGTCGGGGCCCAGGTAGATGTTGTGCAGTTCGAGGTGGTCTTTGACGTGTGCTCCGACGGGCTGTTCGCGGCTCTTGTCAGTATGGTTTCGCAGTTAGGGGAGGATACTCACGTGGATATGGAGAGGCCCAAAGTAACTTCCAAATTCCTTCTGCTTCTCGATGGTGATATCCTTGAAGTCCTGATCTCGGAAGACTACGACGCCGCGCTCGGCGATGAGAAGGGCAAGTTCGTCTTTTTGGCGGTCGTCGAGTTGAGAGAGTTGCAGGCCTCGGATTTCCGTGCCGATTACTGGAGTCAGTTTCGTGGCTTTGATGGTCGAGCTATCTTTGGGGAGAAGGTTGAGCTTCTCCTTATTGGCTACGAGGCCGCGGTCATTAAACTCGAATGGCTGGAGAGGAGGAAACGACGTCTTCTCGTCGTACACAGGCAAGTATTGGGAGTATTTGTACTGTCGTCATTGTCAGCGTGGGCTACTAGATCCATCCAGTGATGGAGTGGTCTACTTGGTCATGGATCTTGTCGTCGTAGGCTAAGGTCAACTTGATGGGCGCCTGCTCGGCTTCAGCCGTAGTCGTTGTTGTCGTGGACATGGTCTACTATGTCACAGGTGGTCTGCGGGCTGCCTTTCAGTGAACTGAGGACGAAGCAGTCCAAGTGGTTTGCTTCGGGTATTATAATGCCATTCAGCTTTGACATGACGCCCTCGCAAATGGACTCCATCACGTCAACGGAATCCAAATGACGAGCCTTCGAGCCATCATTCCTGCGTTTCACGCAATCGGCACTCGCATGCGGGGAAGCTTCAGATAAGACTACCAGCTTGGTTACTACTCTGATTCTACTGGACGCGATATCCGTAGGTCATGCATGCCAATCGTAACTCTACACACGCAGTGTTGAGGGATCTCCCTCAGTTCAGTAGTATTAGGATGATAGCGGTAAGTATATTGAGATGAGTTTGGTGTATCCTGCATTTGTGTATCGCTGTCCGGCCACTGTCGTGATTCGGATGGGAATGGCATCAGCTGTGCTGACCAACAACGCCGTCGGCGGCACCGGTTCGGCGAGAAACCCCGCACATGGCGCCGAAGTAGGTCCACTTCGGGCCCGAAGCCGCGGCGACCAAGGCGGGAAGTCGCCAACCTGCTTTGCTACCAGACGCGTTGTGTCCGTGAAAAGCTTTCTCGCCGTTTCAGTGAACGGATTGGCCTCATAGCAGTAAAACCAAGCCATGTCATCGAAAGCCATCATGCGTGCGATGCATTGAGTCATTTTGCCCTTGGACTATCAGCTTTCTTTCCAATAAAGAAAACTGTTTGGGACCTAATTGATGTTCGCAGATTGTAGAGCATCAGGACCTCCTGTCATCTTCATTGCCTGCGGCACTGTGATTGCGGACCGTTTCATCACTCGTTTGCTCTCAGTCTCTCGCAAGTTCTAAGAGTTGACCACAATGATGTTTGCTCAGCATTGTTGATGTTGTTGATGTTGTGATTGCGAGTTTTGCGAGTTGAGGCGAACATGGCGGAAATCTTCATTTTGTGAAGAATTCTTTTGTGAATTTTTGTATGACCAGGGATACATGAGAGGTCCCCCTTACTCCAACCACCCCCTACATGTCTAACCACCCTCATCAACTACTGCTCCATCGAGCTACAGTGCTGCCTTGAGTTCCGCCAACAGGCTGTCTTGCTTTGGATGGTTCAACCGGTTTACTTCGCGATACTGGTCGTCGGTCATCTCGTTGTTTTCGAATGCTTTGGCGATGTCTTCGAACTCGTTGAATATTTTGAGAAGAGATGGATCATTACGGCCGTATCGGCGGAGGATGACATATGCCAGTAGGCGACAGAAGAACAATGCTTCTTCGAATTTGTTGCGGTTCTGAGGGAAAGGGCGTTTGCTTCGAAACTTGCAGACATCATGCTCTTTTTCTCTGATGAGCTGGGTGAGGCTGTCACCGCTCTTGAGGCGGTCACAGAGGTAGTGAATGTAGTATTGCTTCGGCATTTTGGTGTAATGGGTTGTGGCAGCGTGAAGAGGGAGATGCCTGCCCCCTGTAATCGAGGCGATTCGCGCTCTCTTCATATACCCCCATAGGTGGCCATAGAGGTTTCTCTGTGAGCCATCCTGGCCCTCGAATATTTCCCCGTGAGAGTCATACGGCAGTCAACAAGGTGCGCCTCCAGGCGGCAAACTGCGAAGAAAAAAGTTAGAAGGGAAGAAAGATGGCGGAAATCTTCAGACTCACTCGCTCTGGAGTGCTGGCAAGCGCAGACTATGGAGATGACTCAAAGGTGAACATGCTTTTATAACAAGGTTGGTTTACGGCCGCTTTCCAACGATGGTGCCTGCCTGGAACAAGAGTGACAACGCTAGGTTAAAGTCTTTACACTCTCCTCATCGCTACTCCCCGACACAGACCCTCCAACTCAATCAACAGCCATGAACGCCCTTCCACTTTTCGCCGGATTCGCCAGGGTCCAGGCCGCGAGAGAGGCGGACTCTGCTCCATACTTCCCCCGTACCATTGAGCTTCCAAAGGGATCGGTCAAGAGAACATTTCTCGGAAGCAACGGCTTTCAAGATATACCGGCGCCGCTTTGTCTTCTTGTCAAGCTTCCGAACGGTTATGACGGTCCCCAAGTCGACCCCAAGTACATTCTGGAAGGCGATGTGGAGGAGTATGTCAAGAATCTAGACGTGGGCAATGCTCAGGTAGGTTGAAAGATTCTGAGATATGAGCGGTGACTAAAGCTGGCAGACCGCTCGACTATTAATCATGACCGAGATTGAGGGAACTGATGGAGGAACTAGGGTCATCAGGGCTGAGATCGTGCTGCGAGACTGAGGGCTGACAACCTGCTCGCCTTGTTCAAGAACGTAATGGGATTGATACAGTGGTCGTATTTTCAGATGCGTAAACAACAGTGCGAAAAGAACACCCAAATGACAAGAGTCTTTTCCGCTGTTTCCAATGAAACGTATGTCTCTCTCTCACGTTTTCTGAAAATCCAGTAATTTCCAGGCTTAGATAGGCGGTCGTGGCTTGCGATACTCAGACCAGATGAATGGCGGCGCTGCTTCTTGCTGCCATGCACCCAACTCTTCACGGATTCTCATCCATTCTGTCAAATCTGACGCATCGTCCACCCAACTCCCAGGGACCTTGATGTTTTGATTCTCAACCATTGCCCAAAATTCTCCAGCGTAGTCGTAGTTTTCGTTGGTAATCCAGAGGCTCCACTGCTGTGGTAGAGAGCCATACGTAATGCCCAGGATTGAGTAGCGCATATTTCCCCTTTTCTCGTTCCAAGCCTCCCATGCGAACTTCTGATATATATGAGTATGTCCTTGAACGTGTAGGTCTCTCTCATGTTTTCCGTATAAAAGAAGGTCCTCTCCGGACGACGCAAGTGTCTCGACCCATAGCCGAAAGGCTGATTGGAGGGATCTCACACTGACGCCAACTGGTGTTCGGACGTTTGCTCTCGTGTGGATTCCATGGCAAACAAAGCTGCAAAGCATCGCTGACAACGGCGTGGATACAACATCCGCAGCATCACCAAAGTCTGGATCAAGCCAAACACTGTCAAGATGTTGCGTTCCCAAAGGATCTAGCTCAAAGCAGGCACCGAGAACACGCCTCCAACTGCGATCTTCATCAGGATCCCACCTCTTGTCAGCAGTACAATGGACTAGGCTAATGGCCAAGGTATGTATTAGTGACGTCTCATCTTCGGATCGAGATTCCTGAAGAAGCTCAAGGCCCGGACTTTTGCCTTCATTCAATAGGAAGAGAATCTCCTCCACATTCCACGCTTGCACCCAATATGGAGCGATGCAGCTGACTACAGTGCGAATGTGGATAAGCCTCTCCCTGGTCGGCAGGCTCCCGTATGTGAAACTACACCTTTCTATCAAGGCCCGAAAACTGATGAAGGGGAGGCCACAAATGGCGGCCTGGAAAAGAAAGTCGGGGTCATCAAGATGATCATCTAGACCGTTGTCACCAAGCAATTGAATGAGGAGGGGTCCTTTGTCGTCCACGTCGCAACTGGAAAGAATGCCCAACTCGAAAAGCATCCGTGGAATGCTGTAGGAAATTGAGCTATTAGGTGAAAGTCTTTAATTGAAGTATCAATTTGCGATTTGGCGACTTACTGCTCCCTTTCTCTAGGAGGCATTTCGAGAGCGTTTAGGCCTCGGGCCAGCAACGCCCTTGTGGCACTGACAGCGCCACATCGGACGGCGTCCTATACGAAGTTGCTGTTAGCTAGATGATCAAAAGATGAGTATGAATGAACTTGAATATGGGCTTACATAGAGTAAAGTTCTTCCTTTCCAATCACGCACAAAAGGAGACATCTTGTGCTCGTCTAGGTATTTGAAAACCGCCTGCGGTTTGTCATCTTCAATGAGTTCGAGAAGCTCCCAGTCAAAACGTTTGACCATCTCATCGGCCCTGAGATTCATTTGCCACCCAACGGTTGCTCTTTGAGCCAGGACAGAATACACCGTACTCGTGATCCAACTTGGCGCTTGGATAACAGCGTGGATGCTTCGATTGGCCTGGAAAGAGAGATGGAACCGTCCAAAAATACTTGGTTCGTAGGATACGCTTTGGGGTTTTCGGGAGAGGCTCGCAGAATTCAGTTTCTGGGGTTGATTTGTATTGACGGTGTCGAGCAGCTCAACCTTTTTAGCTGGATCTTGAGCTTTCGAAACCAACGAGTATGTCATCATGGCCCTGGTATTCTTTCAGTCACTTTTTACATTGAAACCCAAAGCCTCTGGTGTACTCACAAGACGTATTGCTCTTGTGCCAACTGATACAGCTGCAGCGCTTCGTCAAGTTTCAAGTCCAAGGCTTTAAGGTCATCCTTATGGATGATTGCTCTTGTTAACGCAATCTTCCGCCGAATAGATGTTGGTTGAGCGACCTGGGCCATCGTGCGATCAACCATTTCCCTTACGTCGCTCAGTATCGTGTGACATTTGCTGAGTTGATCTTGAAGGAGAGTAGGGCTCCAAGCACTGCTTGGCAACGGGGTTTTCGAGAGGTTCTCCTCCGCATAAAATAGGAATTCTTCAATGAATCTGACTCTGTCGGCCTTCAGTCGTAGCTCGGTCGGGACTTGTTTCATTTCATCCAGGAGCCTTATGATTTTCAGGTAGGCGCTGCCTGCTTTGAACGCCACATCGGTGATGGCGATCACGCTCGATGCTAGCCCAATAGCCTCTGCCATGTTGAACTACAGGAGATGTTGGATTGTTGGTGATACAAGATGGTGTTGCGCCTCAGTGCACAAGAAGGCTGTCGAGCGAGGGATCAATCGATGTCATGGAACGACAATTTCACTTGACCGGTGTCCAGAGGGGAGGCCGATGGTTCTCCAACTGAGGTGGTCAGGCTCTATCGGGCTGTGCCGCAATTCATTGGGGCAGAGAGCATTCAGGTGAGAGGGGCTATGTGCATACATATGTTTTGATGATTGGCTAAATCTGACATGCACAACCGCTAAGCCTGATGGATTCGTCTAGGCGGGCAGTAATTCCAGGGTGGAATATGACGAAATCGAAACGGCGTCTGCGGTCGCGATCTTTCCTCTAGACCTGAGGCTTCGAGGGAAAGATTATATAGAGGCATAGGCGTAAACGAGTGGTAATAATGTGATGTGTGTGAATCTAGCTAAGTGGGCTGTCTGCTAGGCTAGAGGCTAGAAGAAGGGCCTAGAGGGCCCCTAGGCTATATAGGCTACTTATAATATTTATAAGTAGGTACTACTATACTACCCCTTAGGTTTTAAAACTTAGTAGTAACTATTAATATATATAAAGTAAGTAAAAGCTAGAAATCTTATTAAAAGCTAAAAAGTTTAAAACTAAGGAGTTTTTAAGTTTATATTAACTTAGTTAATTTTTAGTTAAACTACTAAGTAATCTCTATTTTCTAATTAGTTTAAAGCTTTAGATTAAACTAATCCTAAAGCTAGTTAATATTAATCTATATTATTCTCTAATCTATCTATTAATCTAAATATTCTAATAAAATTATAATATTTCTATATTTTAAGAGACTTTATAAAGCTATTAGTAACTATTTTAAAGCTATTAATAAAGTAAAATATAAAAGTTTTATTTATAAATACTTTTTTAATAATCTATTTATATTAAATATTAATATAATAAATATAAGTTTAATTAGTAGATTTATAATATAAAAGTATATATTAGTACTATCTATAAAGAGAAGAATAAAAGTATTTATTTTAGTATTAAATATCTATTTAATAGATCTCTTAATCTATTTAAAAATAAAGCTAATAAGTATTAAGTTTATAAACTTTACCTTAGTTATACTAAGAGTAATAAATATCTATTTCTTAGTTTTCTAAATAATAAAAATATTACTAAAGAAAATAATATATCTTCTAATTAAGATATAAAATAGCTAGTTATTAATAAAAGAAATATTTATTATACTATAAAGAGCTAGAGTTTAATTTAGATTAGTTCTATTAATAATAATACTATAATAGATAGTTTTTTAGAAATAATAGAAAAAATACTTAGTAAAGTGTAAATATATCTAAAATAAGCTTCTATTAACTTAATAAAGCTTACTAATATAATAAGTAATATTAATATAAATACCTTAAATAAGCTAGTTAATATAACTAGTTTTCTTAATATACTCTTTAGTTTCTTTAATAGTATACTTATTTTTATCTTATTAAATAGAAAGCTCTTTATAAAAAGAGAAAAAAGTCTTTATAAACTATAGATCTTAATAGCTAAATTAATAGAGGATAGCTTTAATATACTTATATTAAGAAAAGAAGATCTTCTTAGTTAAGATATTATATTTAATCTAAAAGCTAAAGAACTATATAGCTTTATTAAGCTTTTTAAAGGTATATACCTTCTTAAGATTATTATAGATACTCTTAATATACTACTTATTAAGCATAATAATAATATTATTATTAATATATATTAAAATATAAGTATATTAATCCTTATTTATAAATAAATAAAGCTTATTATTAATAAGAATAAAGCTAATCTTATTTATTTTAATATAAATAAGATTAAACTACTAAAAAGAAGCTTTATATAAACTATAAAATACTTTCTTAAGAAACTAAACTTTACTATTATTAATATTAAAGCTAATAGGTTAATAAATATAGATCTTAATATTATTAAGAACTAATACTATAAAAAAAGTAGAGTTAAAGTTATATATTTAATATTTAAGTCTTTAAAGAGTAGTAATAGTAAAGAATAGTTAAAGAGCTATAGCTATAATAACTACTATATAGACTTCTTAAGAAACCTAATCTCTATACTTAAAGTTACTATATATAACCTAATAAGCTTTAAACTAAGTAATAATATTATTAATAGTAGTTTTAATATTAAAAACCTATTAGCTAAAAAGAACCTTAGTATTATAAAGAAAGTAAATAAGTTTATAAACCTCTTTTATAATAAACTACTAGATTTCTTATTTATAAGCTTCTTTTTACTATAGCTAGTAAAAATTATCTTTAGCTTAGTTATAAGTTTTTAGAATACTATAGCTCTATAAAAGTGCTCTAAAGATAGTAATAGCTATAAAAGTATTAAAAGAGTATTTAAGTATATTATTATATACCTAAATATTAATAATAATATATACTTTTTTATTATAGCTATAAATACTAAAAAGCTATTTATAGTAACTAAAAAGCTTAAGGTTACCTTAATAAAGTTTAAAAGAAGTAATCTTATTATCTTAAAAAGTTTTAATACTTTCTTCTTTATAAATTTACTATCTATAAGTAAGGTTAATATTATTTAGTTCTTAGTTAATAATACTATAAAAAGACTTATTAAAGTTATTATTACTATTATAATACTTATTAGCTTTCTTTTTATAGTTTATAATAATTATATTATCCTCTAGAAAGAATTATAAAGTTAAGTAAAATATAATTTTATTGAGAGGTAGTATTATTAAGTTTAATCCTTCTATAACTATATTAAGGGTGTTATTACTAGCGTTTAAAGATATTAATATTATAATAGAAATCTCTAAAAACTTCTTAAGAAAGTTAGAAGTACTTATAGTTATATTACGCTAGATCTAAAGATCTAGTTTATTAAATAGTATATTATACTCTATATTATTAGTAATTAGTATATTATATATAAGTTAAAGAACTATATTTACTAAACCTTTATAAAAGTAAATATTATAATAATAGATAACTTTCTTTTTCTCTAAGATATAGATATAATAAATATAGCTATAAAGAGATATATATCTAATAAGATATCCCTTTATAGTATAAACCTCTATCTTTTTAGAATAAAAAGGGTAGTTAATATTTTTTTTATAAATATAAGTAGTATAGCTAAAAGTATAAAAATACTTAATATAAAGTAGTTTATAATTAGTAATAAGGTTAAGTTTATATATTATAATCTTATAAAAACTTATCTTACTTTTAATATCCTAAAGAAGAAAGTTAAATATCTAAATAGTTAAATTAAATAAGTAATCTTAAAGCTTTTTAGGTAAGTTAATATTAATTAACTATATATAAGCTACTTTAATAATAATTCTTTTAGTATACTTAATAGAGCTATTTATAAAAAGTATATTAGTAATAATATAGTTAATATAAGTATTAGTAAAGTATAGATTATAAAGAACTTTCTTAAACTTTAGAGCATTATTATAAACCTAAGTTTTAATATTAAAGCTAGTTATATTATTAAATATATTATAGAAGTTCTTAATAATATTATATATAACTTTATAGTAATAGTTAAATATAAGAATAAGCTAGTGATATCTATTATACTTATTAAGAAAATATAAAGTATAGCGCTTACTAGTTATTAATAGAAGCTTAACTTTAATAAGATTAAGATATATTTCTTCTCTAATTTAAATAAGAAATAAGAGAGAATTATAGCTAATAATCTCTATTAACTTAGCTAAATAGTATACTTTATAATAAAAGTTCTCTATCTCTTCCTTAGTAAATATAATACTTATATAATAATAAGCCTTAATAATTCTAAATAGATAGGTATAAATTAAGTAATAATATATTATCTTAAAAGTTAGCTTAAAGTTATAGTAAATACTAATAAGAATAATAATAGTATTAATAAGTATATTAGTAGTTATATAGGTTTAAAGAACTATAATATCTATAATCTATTTAACTTTACTAATAAAGTAAGTATTATTTATATATATAAAGCTATTAAACTTATAGTTATAATTAATATTAGCTTTATAAAGTTTACTAAAGCTAAATAAATTAGTAAGACTTAATAAGCTATACTTAATATTATTAATAGTCTAATTAATTATCTTAAATAAGTTAAGAGGATTATAAGTCTAAAAGAATATAATATTAATACTAAGAGGATAGATATTATCTCTATTAGTAGCTATAAAGAGAAGTAGGTTATTATAAAGAGTATACTTTATAAAGTGCTCTATATTATAGAAAAGATAACTAAAATATCTAGAGTTAATAATAATATTATTATAATAGATTATATAGCTATTAACAGTAATATAGATTAGAAAACTAATAATATAATAATCTTATATAATAATATTAATAAGGGCTAAGCTATTAAGAATACTAAATAAGCTTTTTATAAAAATAGAAGTAGTTAATATAATATTAACACTATCTCCCTAATAGTTCTTATTATACTTATACTTATTAGCCCTCTTAAAAAAGCTTATTTAGTTCTTATAGGTTAATAAGATTAGTTCTAGATAAGCTATCTAGTACTTCTTAAATAAGTAGTTTATATTATAATAAATATAGGAAACCTTATTCTTATTATTTAATATATTATTATTATTATTAATATAAAAAGTATATAAGTTTAATAATTAAGGCTAAGATCTATCTTTATAGAGTAATAAACTTATCTTTTATTTTTTATCTTAAATAAGAGTATAAATAGTTTTAATAATATTAGTTTATATAAGCTTTTTATTATTATTAATATAATACTTATAAGTATTTAGTAAGTAGGTCTTAAAGTAATTTAAGAGTAATATAACTTATAAATAGTTAGATAAGTTACTTATAAGGTTAGTAATATAAATCTAAAAATATTAAATATACTTAAAGGTATTATAAAAAGTTTTATAATCCTAAGTAGAGCTTTTAGTAAACTTATTAATAAGAGCGTTAATAATATCCTTAGAAACCTTAAGAATATACTTTTTAAGTACTTATATAAGTATAAAAAGATTACTATTATCCTTTTATCCTATATTAAGTAATTTATTAATAAAAGTATTATATAAGCTAATAAGTAGTATAAAAGTAATATTATACTCCTTAATTTATTTCTCTTTAGTAATAATATTACTATTAAGCTTAAGGATATCTTTATTAATATACTTCTTAATATAGTTTAATTATAAAATAGTATTAATAAGAACTAACTAAGATTACTAATTAGATTTACTTTTTAACTAAGGAATACTAAATAAGAAAGTTTTAATATTTTTACTTATATTACTAATTATTTAAAGAGATATAAATAGAGTAATAAGATAGCTTAAAAGGGAAGATATTATTAATTAATATATTAAAGAGAGTTATAAAAAGTAAAGTAATATTACTATTTAATATATTACTTAGTAAAATAAATTTTTATATAAATAGTAGTAATTTAATATATTAAAAGTAATTAGAAGCTATATTACTATTTACTAGCTAAATTAGATTATATAAACATATAAATAACTATAAAAATAAGAAGAATATTATAAAAGTAGAAAAACGCTTAATTTAAAGCTATAGATATTAATAATCTAAGCGCTAAGCTTATAACTTATAGAGGTATAGGTGTAAATAAGTAGTAATAATATAATGTGTGTGAATCTAGCTAAGTAGGCTGTCTACTAGGCTAGAGGCTAGAAGAAGGGCCTAGAGGGCCCCTAGGCCGCACAGGCCACCTGTGGCACCTGTGGGCAGGTGCCGCCACAGATTAAGTTCAGACCTAGCGAAATCACAAAGAAGGCATATATCCACAACTTTGAACAGAATGCTACAACATGAGAAAGGTGGACAACTGGAGGGAATCCGCGTGCGTCTCTTAACCAACGAACGCTTCGGCGGTTATTATTGGAGGGCCACCATGATCTGTTGGGAACCAACAGCGCAGTCAGCCCAGGACGCAGTATCGTCGACTCTTGCCCAATGACATAGTCCGATTAAGCACCTGAGGCTGCAGGGCGTTGCTTGTACAGCCAGAAATATGCACCTCGCCACACTGCAACCCTCCATGCTCGCTCCATCTTCTACGGTATTTGAATTCTCTTAAGCGCCTTCGTTTCGTGCGGGGGTAGATAAGCCGACTTCAAGCCCGACCAAGACCCTTGTATGCATCCAGTGGGCTCCCCTTTTTGTCAACCACAATACGCGTAGTTCTTGGGTTACGCGACTTTTAGAAGATTGGAGCTACTGACGACTTCAGTCTTTCAGCGCAATGGCATCTTCTGATACTATCGCCCCTAATCTTTGGGATATTGCGAGGAAGCGGCTGACAAATGCTGAGGAGGCACAACTTGCCAAAGCCGCTGTCGACAACAATACTCTTTCGCAGCAGCTTCTCGAGCTGGTGCAAGGGAAACAGCAACAATGCATGGATCGCAGATGGAAATTCAAACGATCGAACGGTGAAGTGGTTGTTATCAGGGATATGTTCGAAAAAGTCGTTCGGTGGCTTCAATGGTTCAAGGAGGTTGGAGACGTCGCGACCCAATACGATCCCGCACACGCCGCACTTCCTTGGGCCGGCGTACGAATGCTACTTCAAATTGCAATTAACGACGCGGAATCGCTTGGTACATTAGCGGAGGGTATCGAGACAGTATCGAGTCTCATCACACGCTGCGCCGTTTTGGAAACCATCCACCTCCCGCCGCACCGCTACCCCTTGTCAAAGGCACATGCTACGCTTCAAGATGCTTTGGTCGCACTGTACACCTCCATCCTATCTTAGCTATCGGTGGCTGGCGCATACTACGAAAAGCACCTAATCAAAAGGTTGCTCCGCAGCATGGTGTCTTCAGGCCCAACCTTGACATCAATATTTCAAGAAGAACGCAAGGTCTCTCAATCGGCTACAAGCTTACACGATCAACTTGCTTCAAGCACCGCTGTGACCGTTGAGTCATTGGACATTAGCTTCAACTCTCTGATGAGCATGTTGCGAGACCTAGAACAACCAATAGCCCGTGTTGCCGGCACACTCGATCGAATAGAGCGAAGCTTGGAATCCAAAGAACGTCAGCAACTAGTAGAATGGCTGTCAGTCATTCGACACATGCATGTTCACCAAACAGTGCGTCGTGGGTTCATTGAGGGCACCGGTGGGTGGCTGCTTCGAAGAGCGGAATACACAGCATGGTGCGATTCAACTATCTCATGCAGCCTTTGGCTTCGCGGCGTACCTGGCTGTGGTAAAAGCAAGCTCAATTCACTTGTGGTACAAGAACACATTGACAGTGTCTCTCGCACTCCAATGGTTGCTCACTGTTATTGCTCAAGATCCGGAATTGATGGGAATCCTCCCAGTTCACTCGTCATCATGGGTACCATCCTGAGGCAGCTAGCATTTCTTGCACCGGGGAGAGGTGTCCATCACTCAGCGTGGGACAGTATTCCCAGCGGGTCAAAGACGCCGAAGGGCTGGAACCGACTCCCCTTTCTCTTGACGACTGTCGAGACCTCATCACTTTGATCACAGCCGATTACCCCGCAACAATCATCATCGACGGACTGGACGAAGCAGAGGGGGACGTTCGAGAACTTCTAAACACCCTCCAGCACATCATCGATGAATCACGAAATACTGTGAAGATTTTTCTTTCGAGTCGCGACAGCATACCAGTTGATATTCATCTCCAGAATGTGAGATCGATCCGAGTCACCCATGTCGATAATGCCAATGACGTCTCTACTTTCGTAGAATCCAAGGTCAGCACAGCTGTGCAATACAAAAGGCTACTTAGGGGCAAAGTTTCCCCGGAAGTGGAGACGCGCATCATTCGTACACTAACACATGGCTCGGGTGAGATGTTCCTGCGGGCGTCTCTGAACCTTGAGCAGCTATGTGGTTCCGAGTTTGAAGCAGAAGCGGATGTTATAGACGAACTTGAAGCATTGCGCGCACCGAAGTCTCTGCTTGAGACGCTGGAGCAGATGTACCGGCGGGTGCAGAAGTACAAGCCGAAAGCAAAACAGATCACGAACACCGTTTTTGGATGGTTGCTTGTGTCTGAACGCCAGCTCTCAAATCCGGAGCTTCTGGACATCATTCGATTAACGGTGAACGTAAGGATAGGGGTAGTCGACGAGGAGAACATCAAAAGCCTTTGCCGTGGCTTTGTCAATTCTGAAAACATTTCCGGTTCATTCGCTTTCGCACACGAATCGATCCGAGAATTCCTCCAAGGACAGGATGACTTCAGCGCAGCCAGATTACAATTCGTGGCATTTTCTTCTTGTCTAAGATGCTTGACGGCACGATATGATGACGGAAAAAGGGGGCAGGTAGGACATGATTATGCAGTCGACGAAATGCAAATCGACTCGCCAAATTCGACGCCCTCCATGGATCATACCGAGGATGGGTCCCCGGACGCTGCGTCAGCTTCTTTCTGGCAATATGCAATCTGTTACTGGCTTAATCATTACACTAAGATATCAGGTCAGGATTATCGAGCAGAGGCCGACCCAGACCTTCTCCGATTTATCTTTGATTACAAAGGGCACAGATTTATCGCATGGCTGCGAGAGATGCTCAGCGTACTGGATGAACAACTTAAGCGAGACGATGTCTTGGGCAACAGAACCCTACTGAGACATTTTTCACATCTCGAGTCCCTGGAGGCCAAGCAGCAACCTGCAATCTTCGTCGCGTCAGTCTATGGAATCTCCATCATATTGGAAAGACTCGAGCGCGAAAACACCAAAGTGGATTGGAGTGAAAAGAACGTATACGGGACATCGGGTCTCTACCTGAGTGCCCTTCGCGGTCAAGACGACGTTGTCAAGTATCTACTCAGCCGCGGAGTTGACCCAAACGTGGTTGGAGGGCGCTTTAAAACACCGATACAGGGTGCTGCTATCCGTGGACGTCTTAGCACCGTTGAAATACTTCTAAAGAGCGGCGCTGATCCGCTTCTGGAAGGCCGATATCCTACGGCTCTTCATGCTGCCATTTCGGGTGGCCACGAGCCTGTAATCCAATTACTTGTCGGCAGCGGCTCGTGCCATCAAGCGGCAAACTTGGGAAGTTTGGTCCAAGCAGGATTTTACTTCGGCCGTCACAACGCAGTTATGTCCCTCCTCCACCAATATTTCGATAATGAAGTGAATTCAAAGAAATTTCAGGATGAATGTGAGCTACAACAACGTTTTGGGGCAAATCCAATACCTAACATCCCTTGGGTTAGCAAACGTAGGGATCGATATTGCTCTTCAGGCAGCTCTGTACGGGAACAAGAACACTCATAAGAATAAAACCCGTATTCTGGAGCTTCTGGAAAAGATATCAGATATCAACGAACCAGGTGGATTATTCGGTAACGCGCTGCAAGCAGCGAGTTTCGGTGGTTCAGCTGTATGGGTGCGCATGGTTCTTGAACGAGGAGCCGATCCTAACTCCATTGGCTACTGCGGCTCAGCTCTCCGAGCAGCATCATTAGGTGGCCACAATTCGGTTGTCCTTCTCCTGATCGAGTGAGGCGCAACCCTGGGCCCCGGCAACAAGGACGCGCTCGAGGCCTGCGCCCTGAAGAACCGCCTAAGCACGTTAAAGCTACTAATCGACCGCTTTCAACTAGCGAACACATCTGAATACGATGAATGCAAGCGACGCTTCGGTGCGGCTATGCAGACCGCGAGACACGAAAGTCGCGACAAAATGGTCCAGTTCATGTTAGACAACGGTGCAGGACTTTTGCGCCGAGATGCATTGGAGGATGCTGCTATAGGCGGTAGAGGTAGATGGGGAGATGGTGGTTATAGTCTACTGCCTAATCCTGTTCTTGACATTTTCATCAACGACACAGATAACGTTCCGGATAGACTGACGCCTTCTAAGCTCACCAACTAGTTCCATACTCAATAGAATGCTAGTCTCAGCAGCCGTGAACAGATGAAAATAACAACGGAGTTCAGGGTGATACTTGAATCCTCGCCGTATTCGTCACAATGGACTGATATAGTCCTGCGAGGGATTAAAGCCTTGACGCCAGGGGCCGGAATGCGCCTAGAGTAGGTGGTTTATTGAGAAGCGTTGCCCGTTTCCAAAAGAACAAAAACAAAAAAGGTTCTGGTGGCTAGATGGACACTTCTGCAATTTAAATGATGGGAATGACGAAATAGATTCATGGATACCTGACCATTACTGGAACATAAAGGCTGATGGAGAATAAGACGATAGATGCTAAATTAACTCCTAGATTTCAAGAGAGTGAGAAGATTACGCGCAGAGATACTCGCCCAGACAGTTAAGCTCGTCGTGCATGTAGTAAGGCATGCCAAGGAAAGCATCCTGCAACTACTCATCCTCCAAGCACCACTAAACTGTAGCCATCTCGTAGAAGTGAAATGTCTCTACTTCGAAACCCTAACTTGAGGCATTGCCAGACCCGGGCAGTCACATCAGGCTCGTCTAGAAACACCGACTTTTTTTCTTTTTGGACGGAAAGTCTAGGTAATACATTTCACATCAAGTTGGCATATTGCAGATCAGCCTTCTGAGCCGCGATGACTCCTAAGACAGAGTAAAGATGATAAGTCAAGGGGAGAAGGCCCTCGTGTATGAGGAGACTTGCTTCGATCTTCACCCCAGAACGGAGACAATGTATAGAAAGAGACTAACGAGGTGCCTCGTCCTTACACAGTCAACTTGGTGACATATACCACCAAGCGAAAAAAAAAGTAAAACATAATCAACCGAAACATGTCGGGCCCTGCATGGCCTCAAACATTCATGATCGATTCCCAATACCGACAAGATAGTATGGAGCCGGAGATACTTTCGTGATCACCTAGCTACATAAGTCGTTTTCTGGGGTCATGTACGTGGTGAGGCTGTCCAAGAAGCAGTCGCTCAGTCAGTCTGTCACAAGATCACTCAGCAACCAAACTCAATTCCACCAGTCAGCCCAAAAGTTGCAGTGCAAAAGCCCCGGCGGGTTTAGGCGAACGGTTTACAATGGTCACGTTTCAATGTCAGCATGAGTGGATGAACACTGCTGTGCGATGCCAAGTTACTAGGTAGGCTACTCCATGATCACTTGACCAGACGTCGCCCTAGGGGGCTGGTCCGTTGGCGAGTCTCGTGGAGAAGCTCGGGGCGACCAGAATCGTTGCACGAACTCGTTAGCTGTTGCATCCTTCTCGTAGACAACCCAAACATTACTCAGTCCGATACTTGGCATCCAAAAGTCGGTCGGGGCTTCTCATTCGCGCCGGCACCAGTGCGTTTGACATGCTTTGGTTCGAGTCAACGACGCCGCAATCCAGCGAGTCGGTTCCGTCGCCATGCGAGGTCCCGCCCGTCGTGGTAGCATCCGATCACAGCAGACGCCCACCTGAAAGCTGCAGCGACGGACAAGCAAGCAAGCTGTAAAGACCGTTTGTTTCAGCGTCGCTCGTTTTGTCATGCAGCAGGTGGCGCGGGTGCAACCAGCTCATTCCGGGTAAGTACGTGAGAGGAGAATGGAGGGTGCAAAAATACTTCAAAGTAGCGAAGCAAACAAGATGAAAGATGGGTTTGCAGTTGCAGCGGTTCTGGAGGATCCCGGATTGGGGAGTCCCAGTATTCCAGAGTTCCGAGCTGCAGCTGCCAACCTGGAGGGTAGCTATGGAATTGGGGGCGGTTCGCAACCACAAACCGGAAAGTAATTTGCGCATGGGGAAAAGTTGAGGGCAAACGAGCGGTCCTTTGTGGTTCTTGGGACCGATGTTGGGATGGCCCTTGCATTCAATGAGCGAGGACGTGCGGAGGCCGACGGGACGCGGCGATGACGGCATGCTTTGCCGGGTTGCACGGAGCGTCGACGCGCCGAGAAGGATTGTGGAGCGTGTCGCATCGGATTGAAGGCCTTTGAAGATCGGATTCTTCAGTAGACGAGCGGTGGTTGATCTTCAGATCGACGCCGGCCATGGCAGATGATTGGCATCCTCGGAGATCGAAACGTGTTTGCTTGGACTGGCCTCAATGCCGCATGTGCTATTCTGGAGGACTAGCACAGCCTAGCAAATGGTTGTTGGTTATCGCGATAATGCCTTCATTTCGCCTAGGCACCCTTTCTTCAGGAGATTGGCGCATCGCGGCCGCGTGCTCAGAAAACTCTCATGTATGATTAGCTCCAGGAGAGGAGCGTTGCGCAGGGCAAGCCGGCCAGAGGCGCGTGTGGTGGCTGAAGAAATGTTCGTCATGTTTCCCGTGCAATGGCAACGGTTCGCGCTTTGACGCACATGACCCTTAACTTGACGTCGGAATAGAAGGTTCGTTTAACGATGGAACGACGGCGGGGAGGTTGTCTACATGGAAGCTTGTCGGTGTGTTTTGGGTTTCGTAGAGTTAGTGCGGGCAGATTCAGGATGGGGGCCGCCGGTGTTGGAGATTGAGTCGCTAGAAGGCGGGTTTGGATAGAAGCGGGAATAGGGGCCGAGCTCACCCTTAACTCGAACGGGGAACTGTTGGTCAGTGACGGCCTCCTGTCCCGCAAATTGCAGGCGCAACCGTTGGAATGCGTTTGGAACCGGCCTATGATCGCGGGGAGAAATCGCCACTGGTGGTGTAGCCGGGACGCCATGGCCCGCCGAGGTGTATGCAGTTTGCAAAGCATCTCGACCACTGAATGGCGGTGGTTGGCGGTGAACCAACGTGTTGCGGACTCATCAGAGGCATCTGGGCGAGGCGATTGGCAGAGCTTATGACGGTTGGTCATCCCCAGACCAAAGGTGGTCAGCACCGCATCGGTAGAGTGGGAGCGTGTCGCAGAACTGACTGCGGACAATTAATGCCCCTCACTAAGACACCGGCACTTGGTGGCCTCGACTATTGACATTCGGACGGATATCATTCTGGAAACGGCAGATTGGCCACTGGGATCCAGACAGCCAGTGGCCCTCATGCTGAAATTTAGGACCGTTTTCTCCGTTGACGATGCGCCGTTTGGCATGACAATCATTCCTCAAAGCAGTCGCTAGGCGCTGGGCCTCTCAGGGTGTCGGACGCTGGCCCAGAGGTTGTTCCATCCCGCCATCCTGTAATCCCACAGCAGGCCCTCACTCATGGCGACTGACAAGGAGGGCGGCGGACGGTGGAACTGTTGCCTCTGAGCGCGCCGGTGCGGAAAGAGCCCGGAGGATGGTGGTGGTGTCGTCGGCGGTCGGGAGGGTGTCGAGGCGGGCGAATGAACAGCGAGAAGAAAGCGGGCAGCGAGTCGCGCAATTGCACGGACCTCTGGTTGCTAAGTTGGTGTCTGCATCAATTCAGGGGAAGCCATGGGTGTCTGCATGCAAGTGCTTCCAGGTGGGCGCAAATGAGTGGGCGCTTTCAAGTCGACGACGGCGCACTCGTTGGATGGCACGATTGGACCAGCTGGAACCGTGACTTCAACGGCCTTGATAAGGCGATTGGGGAAATGGGCTTCCCTTTCTCGCTGACCGAGTCTTGACGATTCGGACCCGAGGTGGTGACCAAGCATCACGCCGGTGAGCAGCAGAGCGGGAGGAGCGTGGCATTTGGTGGCTGCCTTGGTTGCACCGGAGGGCGGATCGATGGGGGCGGCCGGCCTGCCACGCGTGGTAATTGTCCGCCGTCGGTTGGCTGTGGAGGCTTGTTCTTCTGGAAACCGAGCGTATCTTGGGTCGGTTTCCGTGACCCGTTTCCGTTGTCCGGCTCTGGACTCGTGGGCAGCGCTGTTGGTTTGGCGAATGAGAAGCGTGGCGGTCGAGAATGTTGATTTTGACAGACAAACACAGCGCAACGAGGGTCCTCTCGGATCTTCTGGGGGCCCCTGGAAGTGACTGCTCGTTTTGGACAAGAACCCTGGCGAGATGGCTGCATCTTGCATTCCCCCTGCAGCCCTGTCCCCTCTTGTCCCTTTTTGGAGCCGGGATGTGGCCTGTCAAAAGGGGGGGCTAGTCGAGGGCGGCAAGCCAGCCGTCGGGCGTGTGTCTGGCGCCTGGTGTCTCGTGTGTCTTGGAGGTCCGGCCGCCGTGTGTCTTGCGGTAGCGCAGACGCCGGCGGGAAATGTCTTGCAGTGGCTGGCGATGATTGGGATGGATCGGTGATGGGAATTGCGTGGGCGTTTCGCGAGCAGATTGGCCGTGATGGTGGTGGTGATGACGATGAGATCCGACGGGCGACTCGTGGAAAAACAATATTGAAATCATTTTATTTCTTGGAACTTGCTAGTAGAGCAGCGGCAGAATTTCTGGACGCAGAAGCAAGCCATGGAAGAAAAAAAGAAGAACGCGGAAAAAAAGGGGGAAACCCTGCATGATGGGCGGACTCTATCCGGTTTAGGCGCAGTAGCAGCAAAAAAGAGTCAAGGGCAACCGCCAACCGCAGAGCAGATGGACAAGGTTGCAGGGTCCGGACCATGTGTCTCGAGGCCCGTGAAGCTCTGGGGACGGAGTTTGGGGGCAGGGAGCTGGTGAAGACGTTTAATGCGTGGCTATCATTTTGCATGTGTCGGGGGTGTGTTTATTCGGTTG